GATCATTCCCCGGATTCCTCTCTGTTTTTTTTTTCGTTAATTGAACCACAAGTCTGACATGACTTGTAAAAGCAATATGAGAGCAAGCTCTTGGCCTCAATGGATACAGAAAAACCTGTAGGTAACAGAACAAATTTCATGGAGATAGGAAGTGAAATTTTGGAACAAGCTGACCAGCAATTAGCAAGAGAAGATAGGTTTTAAACATACGAAATTACAACGTGAGCTGAGACAATAATCACCAAAATGGATAAAATGGACTGTCCGAGTTTTGAAGGAAGTAATGCAAGATAATTAAACGGATTCTTTATAAAAAAAAAAAAACAAATGAAGAAGTCTTGACTGTGCTCTGTTCTGTTGTAAGACTTTTAAAGCAGAAAGGAGGCAGCTAGAGCACTCAAAAAGTTGGGAGAAAAACTGTATTGCGTCTCGTGTTTTCCCCTATACTTCTTTCGTGCTCTAGCTGCTTCCTGTGTACTTTACAACAAAACAGAGCACATATAGAAAAAAAAATTACTTCATGCTAAGTTTGCTTGTACCACATTATTCACTCGTTGCAAAGAAGAAAACACACTCGCTCGTTCCTCCCTCGTTCGTTTTTTCTTCACAAATCGTGGGTATAAATCATCGACGCGAACTAACCATTAAGTAATTTATAAATGGCTTAGCCCCACCGACGCCAGCAAATTTAGTTTTCATTTCAGAGCCATAATTCGTACCGCGTTTAAGTATTCGGAAAGAACTTTATGCTTTTTTATTTATTTCTTTTTTTTTGGTTTTTTTTTCTTTCATTTCAATAATTCTTGCTTAAAGGGTCTCTCTCCATTCATTTTATCACAGTTCTCAGCTATGTCAAAGTAATAGGTCTTTTTAGCTATGTGGTCACGTGGTTTGAAAAGAGTAAGCAAAAGAATGCAAAATGACTGTTAGGTATATAACGCAGGTGACACCTTATGGACGAAATTCCTTCCTCTTTTTTTAATAAAAAAATTCATATTCACAGAAAGATCAGCAGCACTCAAAAGACTGCAGTTATATAGAAATCGGCGATAACCGAAATGGAATCATTAACTAAGATCATAAACAACCTCGAGCTGGATAAACAAACTTGTGAGCACATGATCTTTAAAGATCGCGAAAATACACGAAACAGGCACAAAAGGGAAGCAATGGTATCACACCAAGAAAGTTTTGACGATTTTGTGATTTCAAGTCAGAATGAAGTTATATTTTGTCGAAAGCTATACAGTTTTTTTGTTTTGCGCTAATTAGTTCGCTCTTGATCGGCAGCCGGTCAAGATTCTCAAACGACTGAATAATCGGCAATCGGATATTTTTTTGAAAATTTAACAAATTTATAGAAGCTACACCATCCAAAGAATTACATGTTAATGTAATTTTATCTCATGTCTTCAATCTCGAGCCCAGGGTCATTTTGGCTCCTTGTCAGCGGTATTGTCGCCAAATAATGTCCTCTGGGATAATCAAATTTTTATCCCAGAAATCGCAGGATTCCGGTTTTAACTGCGCATGTCTACACTGTTTAGTTATTGCTTCCGGTTGACTTCTGCGCGTGCTCAAAATAGAGCACACGGTCCGCTACGCCAGCGGAAGAAGAAAAGAACGTAAATTACCTTTGTGCACGTGAACTAACATTAACAGCTGAAAACTGTTTGAAACACTATTTCATTTTGAAATAGCTTTTTACGGACCATAAAAATATGAATAGGTGCCATCCGCTTTCAATCTCCGAGTTCGTTTTTCTGCAAACTTGAAATCCTCGTCTTCGAAATGTTCAGACCACACTTTGCTACCAAATATTACACTTAGGTCTTTATTTGATCTTATTTCATTCTAAAAGTCGATATCTGTTTTAAAATACACTAAAAAACCATAACGACATTCAAAAATCAAGATTAGACGATTTATTGCTTTTAACCATTTACTAATGCTATTTACTGTGTTTCTATTGTTCCGGTCAGACTCCTTCATGGAAACAACCTACAACTTATTCCTTATCGAGCCTTCTTTGCCATGGATGCCTTGAGGATAATGTAGGTACACTCTAATACACACACTATTCGAATAATTTATTGTAAGAGACTGGTGCAATCGACTTTGTGTAATTTTTTTTTTATTCCTTCGATTTTATGCCTTGACGCTTCTTTAGACGAAGCACATAGACAGGATCTGAGAATACAAGCTACATTCAATTGTAAATAGCCGGCCGTTGTGGCTCACTCACCTCTGATAATTGCACACAACTTACCACTTTGGCCAATTCCCAATATTTTTCACACTATTTTCATTAATTGGCGCATGAACAACTTAATCAACCGGTTTTTGTTTGAATATTTTGAAAATGTTCTATCAGGTAAGAGTGCCGTAATTTGAAGTGCACGATGATATAGCTACTATGACGGGAATGATACGACAAAGACGACGATATCAACGTTGGTGAATACGAATTAACTATGCTAATAGTGAGGATGATTATTATAATGCGGATAACATTGATGATAACTTCGATGACGACGAAGATAATGATGCTGACGATGATACTGATAACGACGATGACGACAATGATGACGTCAATAACGATGACATTTTATCTTTCTATCTTTTACTTACAGAACACTAACTGATAACCCAATAGAGACAATTGAGTCGGAGGCATTCAAGTTTTATGGACCTAGTATCGCAAATTTGTAAGGGATCTTATCTATTTACTCACCGAGTAAAACCTTGACACCTCTCCTCTCTCAGAAATGGTACCCCCGAGTAAAGCTACCGGTAAAATGGTAAAGGATGTCGCATCTGTGGTTTTAAACACATTCTTTAATGTTTGAAAACATACGCAAGGGAGGGGGGACAGTCAACCTCTCACGGGAGATCTGCTAATACTGGAAGTCAGTGGAGCTATATATCAGAGAATTTACGGAGTCTGCAGCCGAACTCAGGTGATGTGCTGTTGTTCGTGTGGCGGAGGAAGCTATTAACAGTATACAAATCTGTGTTGCAGTGTATATTGTTCGACAATCTGTGCACCAATTATCGATCAAATCATTGAATCTACCCGAGCAACCTATTGGTATTTTGTTAGTGGAAGTGTTATTCATGGTCCAGAATCAGGTCCTATTCACCTGTGGAAGTTCCACTGCCAGGACAAGAAGACTTCACAGTTAATCGTTCTGAAACTCATGTACCGGAGATCTCGAACTGTGCCCTAGAAGAAAGACATTACTCACCTGAAAGGGAAATCACGCAATTCTCGGACTTAGAAATTCTGGGAATAAAGAATGACGAGCCAACAGTCTGTGAGAACTTCGTTGAAGTTATCATGGACAACTTTCAGTTGAGTAGGATGAGACTGGAATAATTGTTGCGACGGCTGAGGTCAAAACCAGAAGTCATCAAGCGCTATGATGACGTCATTCACGAGCAACTTCACACGGGCAAAATTAAGCCAGTGAGCATGGAGGAACAGCCAGAAGTAAGAAAGGTCCGCCATCTTCCCTACAGAGAAATTACCAGACTTGAAAAAGACACTGCAAAGCTTCGTGCAGTCTATGATGCATCTGATAAAAAATGTGGATTAATCCTCAATGATTAGGTTCGATGTATGCTGTGAAAAGCAGGCAAACTATATGAAATGTCATCTCTCACTGCGCTTTATGCAAGGAGCTTGAAGGAAGACCGTACAGTACTCCGGATCTCCGCAGCCTCAGCTCCCAGATTTCACAGTTTCCGACGAACTAGTTTTCACCCAAGTTGGTGTCGATTTTGCTGGTCCAGTCTATTTTAGAAATATGTATTCTAACAAAAGCAGAGTCTTCAAAGAATTCATTGCAATATTTACCCGTGCATCTCCTCGGATGGTGCATCTCGAGCTCGGTCCCGACCGGTCAACAGAAACTCCCCTTGGGTGCCTATGGTGGTTCATTTCAGGAGGGGAGTTACCACCTATGATCTCCGATAGTGGGAAAACATTCAGAGGTTCAAGTTCAAAGGCTTTTCTTTTCTGACATATTCCATAAGTTCAACGTCCCTTGCACGGTTGGTACGCTCTGTGAAACGCTACCTCAAGAAAAACCTTGGTAAACACGTGTCATTTACGAAGAATTTTTTTATTTCTCCGTAAGTGACACTTACGTTTGTAAGTACGTAGGTTAAAAGACGCTTATGGTTCAAGATAAAGGAATACTCGACCCTCCACCTGTCTTCTACCAATGAGGAACTTAGGGTGTCTTTCTGAACTTTTTTAACATAATTTGGGCAAGAAGACAACTCAATCTCTTGTGATTAAGCAAGGAGGCGTTTGTATCGTCTTCGATAACTCGGAGAAACACAAGAAGGCCAAACGAAACGACGAAAATAAGCCTAATATCACACTCGAACTGATTTTGATCAAAGATAAATCGAACACACTAATCAACTCATTTATATACACACGAAGTATTCTTATAACTCATTTAGCTCACACGAAATATCGTTACATCCTCCTTAACGAAAACATTTTGCAACCGTCGTCAAGTCATTTAGTCAGTTCATTAAGAGTCACATCTGCCCGGTCTCTTTTCCACTCGTCCACTTCTGGTGACAGTAACAGGGGCTGCTGGTGCACTACGAAAGACTTCAGTAGCAGGGGCTGAAACTTTGTTACTAGACTTTTCAGGTACTCGTGATCTTGGTTGTATAGCTTCCTAGCTAGGTCATTCTTGAAATGTCGACGGAGGCTCTGGATGTGGTGTCACTGTGGAACCTCAAAATAGGGCTTAGGGGAATCATTGAAAATCTCAACGGGGGGTACTGTCCGGAATAGCTCTCGAGACAACCTCAGATGTCTTCGGTTCCTGCTGTAGATGCGTCCATCCTTTGTTTGAACTTCCCATGACCTTATTCCAACCTTTTTCTCAACAGCTGCTTTAGCCCATCCAGCTGACATAATAATCTCTCATTGGTTGGAAGCACGTTCACCGTTGCTCCACTGTCCAACTGAAACTGGCTATCATGCCCATTGGCAATCATCTTTGCAGACAACTTTCAACAACTTGAATTCACAATGTCTCGGAACTCTACGCTCACGGTCAAAAGGTATTCTTCAGAAGAGGAATCTCCCTGCATTACATTTACAGACTTTTTCTACTTTCTGTTCCTCAAAGGTTTGGATGGTTTTGTACACTGTTTTGCACACTTGACTGCAAAGTGACTTTCCTCGCCACACTTCTTGCAACTGTTTCCCTTGGCAGGACACTCCAGATTACTTCTCCCGTGTTTACTTCCATAGAAATTAGAAAGTATTACAGATCTAGATTTACCAGCCTTTGATGGGTTTTCTCCTCTGAGAATTTGCCAGTTTGCTTGCGATCTGCAACAAACTTGAGGTCCTCCTGTTTGCCCATCGCCTGTGGCTGAACTGAAGTTGCTTCGCTGGAAAGACAAATATCGATGCATTTGTTAAGTGTGAGTTTCGATTCTCGTAACAGCCGCTTACGTGTGCCATTGTCCTTTGTTCCGACTACAATTCTGTCGCGAATAAGACCATCCACGAATGAACCGTAATTACATGTTTCTGCCAAAATACGAAGTGCTGCAACATATGAATCAATCGAAATCTTGTCTGTTTCTCCAAAACAAAACGCGCCTTTATTTTTCGCAGTACCACATCAATTTCCTTGCTTTCCTCTTCATTTTCCAAATTCAAACCATCGAACATTTCGGACGCGTCCGCCCCCAAACACTTAAGTAACGAAGCATTCCTCTCCTCCTTTGGTTGCTTTATTGGAAGAGATGCAATTTCCTAATTAGACCATACGCGCCGAAAGCGTGTTCAATTCCATGCCAAGCTTCGCTTACTTTCGAGTTTCGAAGGGAACGATATATTCTGCAAAACAGCCGTGCTTACCTCAGCCAACCCTCCCTCGCCGCCCAGCATACTCCTCCACGTGGAACTTCGGACAACCAATTCGAAGAATAAATGAACACGCACCGACCAGCAGGCTACTAATACGCAGGTCACAACTATTCCTGACACCATGGAGAAACACCAAAGATGACTCGAACACACTAAAAACTCATTTATATATACACATTTAGCTTATACAAAATATCGTAACAGCGTTGATAATGCGCCTCGAAAAAATGGAAGTCGGGTACAGTTCAAGAATTGATCCATGGAAGAGATCACCTCGTCCGTGCAGCCATTGTTGGGTTGATTTCTAAAGGAGAGGAGACTGAAATCAAACGTCCAGTACTGAGGCTTTACCCAGTCGAAGTTTCAAATGAGCAACACGATGGGGGTCACAAGGAAGTTGCGGGTTCTGCTCAGTCAGCCGTCAGATTTGTTCCCGACGATCAAGTTGAAATCGTTTAATCTCAGCGAATTATGTCATTAAAAATTGAACTTTGTCATTCATGGGTTTATCCAGAGGTATTTAATTGACTAGGTAAATCAAAGGGGTGGGGTAGTGTGTTATAATAGGATTTTGGACGCAATTTGTTCTCTTCTTTCATCGTATCATGTGAATTCTCAGATTGTAATCTCGCAATTTACACCTGTTTCTTGTATCTGTCGTCCAGAATAAAGTCTAAATACAGCTCGAAAAAAGTGTTAACTCTCTATCGCACAGAAGAATAAGTTTTGGAAGTTCTAGGAATATTCTAACTTCTTACAGCAATAACACATGAAATTAAAGAGGTGGAAGAAGAGCGAAATCGTGATAAAAATGGCATGTCTTACAGCCAACTGGTAACTATTGTGCAAAGAGCCCTTAGCTGTTATGAAAGTTACCAGATGTTCATGTTGGGGTAGTTTGTCTATTGCTCACTCACTCTTAAGGGTCATGGCCCTCTTCTCTTTTCGTTTGATCCTCCAGTACTTCCTGTCGTTCCTTATTGACTTAATACCTTCATTGAAATTAACACTATACATTAAGGTTGACCCAAATGATTTGGTAGGTGACATGTACATTTTCCCTTGGGGGCAAATTGATTATTTTTTTCATCACGCCTATGAGTCTTAAAGCACACGTAGCTTTCCCTTAGAATTTTCAGGACCTATCGACCAGCTTTCATCAATTTTTTTTAGCTAAAAAAGATTACGTTGGGAATGAAAAGCATGTTTAGCTACAATTTTTTTGAAAAAATGCGTCGTCATAATGGCCCCTTTTGTACGATCTAAGGTTCTAAAATTTGTTTCCACCAACCTACTCATCTTTTTCGTTGTGTTGTTGCAGATTACTTCTCCGAACGAATTTGAAAACATTCCTCTCTGCCTCCCTCGCGAATTTCAGGGCTACCAATTTTGAGCTGTAAAGTATCCAATTAATTCATGTATCAGCCGTGATGAACCCATACTTTAAGATGTCGGCCGGTTAGAACTAATAAACCACTTAAAATCAATATGTCATTCAAAGTGAATTTCAAGCACAGTCATCCTCCAAATGTCTTTTGTGAATTAACCCTAAATGTAACAGGAGTGATCATATTGTTAATCTACCTTCTATTGCATATCTGTTTTAGTAATTTGTGGCAAAGAACTCCTCGGATTGTAACTTACCACCGTGAAAACAGGATCGTCCTGAAAGTACATCTGTTAGTATTTCCCTTTTTCGATCATAAAAATGAGGCTAAAAAGCATTTGTACGAGAAATCAATATGTCCAATGCTTTCAATGAATTTTTTGAGAGCGTTTCATTTAAAACGCGACCGCTCAAATATAGTGTAGCTCAAAAAAAAATTTACTAGTGATACGTTTTGTAAATTGAAAGTCAAAGGTGCGTGCATTATGTGGATGAAAGGTTTTTGAAATATTCTGGAGAATGTTTTTTTTCTCCCAGCAATTGCTTATCAAGTTATGTTTGTGATGTGTAGTTAAATAACCTTGACGTTAAAATCCTTGGAGTCTACATTAAAGTGAATAAAACTATCGACTTGGTGAGTCATGAAAGCAAAAGTTATCTGATCACTCTGACCACTCTTTAGTGATTCAACTGTTCCTTAATTATGCAGTAGGAAGGGGTGCACGTAAGGGCTCCTTATGCACTCGCATCTCTCGATCGCATTGTTTTCTTAGCGGTTTTGGACTAATTAACTTTGATGGTCAATTTCATTCTAAGGAATCCCTTGGACTCAAACCGAGAAGTTATTAAGTTTTCCAAGAAAGATGATGAAGTCCTGGGGGTTGCTTTGCTACGCATGGGTTACACAAGAACTTCCAGTTACCCTGACTATATATATCGAACGTGTCCTCTGGGAACGTTCTCAGAAGGAAATGGGAAGTGCATGGAATGTCCTCCAGGTTTGTTATCTTGTGCCTCTTTGTTATTCAGTGATGAATTTACAAAATAGCTCTTTAAGATCAATCCCTATCCTTAGGAAACTTTGCTACAATAGCAAGAAAGATTATTGTTAGAATAATACGTAGTAAGCACAGAATCATTGGGGACAAAATACCTCATGTCATTGAGGAAAAGATGGAATTGCCCAATTATATCCTTAACCGGTCAAGTGTTTAAAATATGTTTTTGTTTTACCTGAGACTTAAAATAACCTTTTCTTGGCCGAAAAAAAAGAAGAGTTGCTATTTTTAGGGTGGTAAAAAATTCCTTTACAGTTTGATTTTCAATAGCCTTAGTGTTTAACCAGTACTTTGAAGACTGGTCTATAAATCTTGCAAGACGCACATATAACCCTAAGTAGCCTTCCGCTACACTTTATACAAATGATAGTGTAACGAAGACAATGGAAGCCTAAATGAATCACGTGGAAACTAGCCGCTCCTACGTTGTCACACGAACACATCAAAGATTAAGAAATCCACCTCCACAAATCACATTAACTAATACGTGACTTTGCCAAATTTTACAACATTCGTTGATCATATAAAGAATCTTTGATTGTTGGGTGGGGCATTTGAACACAATCTTGGCCCGAGGGATGGGAATTTGAACGAGCGAATCTCCTAAATGTCAAATCCCTTAGAATTGCCCGGGAGGGGGATTTTGAAGCTTCGAATTTATCGACGCATTACCTTGCATTCCCTCAGCCGTCCCTTACCTTAAAACTTATTTCGTTTTTTACCAGGCGGTTTCTACGTTGATTCGCGTGGCTACGTTGCAGAAAGCTGTAAAAAATGTCCAAACGGATCTTATGTCCCATTCGACAAAAAACCTGGAAAATCAATTCTAGACTGCAAGGCGTGCCCAATAGGTAAGTAATTAACACGACCACATGATGTGTTTAATCTCAATATTTACTGTTTACTAAAATTTGTATCCAAAGAGTCGTTTCAAAAGTAGCGCTTGAAAAAATTTAAAAAACCTATGGAGCGGCTGAAGACTACTTTGAGAAAACAAATTTCATTTTGGGTATGATATCCATATAGACCGCGCTTTTGCGCATAGATTTTGGGTTGTTACGGAAGGGGGAACTCCGGGTGCTTCCTTATAACTTCAACCTTCGTAACGTTACGGTCACCAAATTCACCTACAGTGGAGGAGCGAATGAATAAATTGTATTTATCCTCATAAATGATTTCAATTTACCGTTAGTTTTAAAACTAGCTGTGTATTTGATTCACCTTATTTTCATCACACTAAACAAAAGGTAACTACTTAGAAAGTACCGAAACCTATTTTTTACTCTTGCCGGGGAACTTGCTTTAAATCAGAATAGCAATATAAAAATTTTCCGCGTTAAGCGTACCATGGTAGAGTTTTTCATTGAACATTTTTCTTTTTTATGATGTCAGCTGCCAAACTGGATCTCGAATTTTGAATAACTGAATGTGTTTCCTGTGCATTAAGTCTACGGTAACACATCTTTTCAGTGTAATGAATGCGTCTATGAGGAATTTTGTAAAAGGGAAACTAATTTGCCCGAAATAAACATCAGCGATAAGCGGAAATAGTAGTCATTTGAATAAAAATCTTCAAATCTTGCATCATACCCAGGCGAAACCTAAAAGAAGGGTATGAAGGGGAAAATTCAAAATATTGGCAAAAATCCCTTCGCAATTTCGGTTATCAGGGAACGATATCATTATCGTGCATGCCTCAACGGCTTAATATGTCCACGAAAAGATTTTGAAAGGAGTCCTCAAGTTTCGATATCAAAGCCTAAATTGTAAGTCTTGAGTATGCCTCGTATTCCCCCTGTTGAGAAAAGAATAGATTTAAAACTTGCCGAACGTGCAGAGGGCAAGAGAGAAAATGAGAAGCCTTTACTATTCATTCTCTTTTCAAGTTTAGAGAAGGAGGAGACATTCTTCGTGTGAAAACAAAATCATTTTGCAGGGAATCAAGCGCCTGTATAACACTTTTTTTCAGGAAGAAATTTGAATCAGAAATATAATCTCAACAACACTGACAGTTTTCTCAATTTTAACAGGAACGGAAAGTGACTTTGTTGCTGGATATCGAGCATGTCCATGTTTGGAAGGATTTTACCGAACCCATCGATTCGCTAAATGTCTCAGATGCAAAGTAGGACTGATATGCCAAGACGACTATGCCTCATTGAAATCTGGATATTGGTGGCGGTGGCGTAACGATTCATACAAACATCGCTACCAGGATTTCATACAAAATCTTTTGGCGACTTCTCCAGTACTGGACAATTCTTCCATACAATACCCTTATTCGATGCCGACACCTTACAGGTGCCAGGTAGAGAAATCTTGCAAAGGTGGCTTGGATTCACCATGTGCAAAAGGTTACGAAGGTCCAATTTGTGCCGTTTGTAGCTCAGGATATCATAAGAAACTGGAGTTCTGTGAAAAATGTCCCTCGAAGGTTTGGATTGTGGCACAGCTTTCAATTGTTCTCGTCATTCTATCCCTACTATTCGCAATTTCGATGTGGAAGAGAAAAACAAAATTGGTAAAGGACGAAGGTCACTATCTGATAGACATGTTTTTTTCCAAGCTCAAAATACTAGTTGGCTTTTATCAGGTCACGCATGGCTTACTAGATGTGTTCTCGTACATCGAATGGCCAGATTCTCTGCAAGCTGTCCCCACGTACTCTGGAATACTTCAGTTGAATTTCTTTCAGATCGCACCTGTTCACTGTCTATTTTTAGGGTTGCACGTGAACGCCTTTGGAGAATTGCTCCTGATATTAACTTTGAATTTGAGTGTCATTGGCGCCTCTGGTGTATGTTACCTTATATATAAGACGGTAATCTTGAAGAGTCATAACCTTGAAGAAGACGAAAAGTCCAGGAAAATCAATCAAACAAAACAGTTGGTTTACAGAAATCTGTTTTTCTTCTTGTATGTAACGTATCTGAGTACATTTTCCAAAACAGCCAGCGTTCTACCTTTTGCTTGCCGCAAACTCTGCCGAGATGAAAAGGATGAGATGTGTGAGGAATACGCTAAAGCAGATTACAGCATAAAATGCCAAGGATCCTTATATAACCATTGGCTGATCCTGGCATACATTTCGACCGCATACGTCTTTGCCCTGCCTGCCGCTTCAGTTATCGTACTTTGGAGGCAACGGAGAATGTTATTTTCTTCGACAGACAGTAATAAAGACACTGGCACAGGGGTCGTTGGAGGTTTGAGATTCCTCTTTGAAAACTACAAACCCACTTTCTGGTACTGGGAACTGGTTGAGATGTCTCGCAAAGCTGTTCTAACATCTGGTCTTATTCTTGTGGGAGAAGAGACCAGGTCTTACATCGGTTTGGCATGGGTCGTTGCCGGTATGTATGGAGTACTTTTCTCTTGGAATAAACCCATAAAAGTCGCTTCGGAAAACAGGTTGATGTCGACGTCCCTTGCTGTTACTATTTTGAACTTGGGTATTGGCGCCGTGAGCAGAATCCCCGCAGAGAATATATCAGATGAGGTGGATAAACACAAAGACGAAATGGCGATGAAAATACTCATACTGGCTGCAAATACTTTGGTAATTGGCCTGCTTGTCGGTAAGGATGGCTAAGACGAACAACATATTTGTGACAATACATGTGCAAACGTTAGTTAATTCTTTGCCGTGAAACACGTGACAAAATAACAGAATACTGACCGACGATTAAGGTGATGCATATTGTAATACACAGCGATCTACACGTTCAAGCGGTTACTGAACAGACATTTAATCTCTATCAAGTGCCTTCAAGGTACAAACGAAACTGAATATATAATGAGTCTAGCAGCACGTGCAAATGAAATTCAACACAGGGCGTGAAAATTACAATATTATAACACATATCGTTGTGACATTTGTTGCAACACTCCAAAATACAAGCCAGTTAGCCCCAAAAGAGAGCCAAAGTGATCTAGCATATAGCTCTAGTGATTTCTCGGAGGAGCAAACAAATTTATATCCATGTTGAAATCACCTGTGGTCCTTGCAATCTGATTGGCTCTCACCGGTGTGATTTATTCTTAAATCGTGCCATTTTATGCTCTAAACCGCATTTTTTTCCCTTGCCATTGAGACAGCTTTACCAAAACACAACAACCAATCAAATTTGCAGGAAAACGAGAGACAAATTTTGCATCTGTTTTGAGACCAGCTCAATATACCGAATCAATATAACATTTGTACAGACTAACACAAGTTGTATTGAGCGAAACCGAAGCCCCTAAATAAAATTCTCCAGGAGTTTTATAAAAAAGTTCGTAGGAAAGACGGGGAAGATTACGAGCGTGATAGATTTCGTGTAAAGGTTGCGGCTGTCGATTGATGCCTAACAGAGAAAGAATACAAACGCTAAACTATTCTTTAGAGAGGTTTTAAAAGTTTGAAGAAAGTTCTTGAGGGAAAAGCCCAAAAACTCCGTTAACAAGGCAGAGGCAGGCTGCCGAACTGGTGAGCCATGACACGAAATAAGAAAAAGTAAATAGGAAAACATAGTCATATTTTTGCTTGTATATCAATAACTAATAATCATATGATTTTCTCGTGCAATTTAAGATAAATCAGCGATTGCAAATCTTTCAAAGACTAAAAATTGCAAAATTTGCACAATTAAAAATTTTATTAACCTTTGAAAAATTTACTCGTGCTGATTCATCCCAAACTGCAAGAGAAATATATTATGACTACTTATTGTACGCCACTCACTTTAGGTACCATAATTAATGCTCTGAACACCTGGGTGAGAGCGTTTCAAGCCGGGTTGGGAATGAATGGATTAGGAAGCGTGTCTGATGCTAAAAACATCCGAATATAAATGATACACTAAAACGAGTGAAGCGACAAAAATTGATGTTTTCATACCGGAGGAGATATTAAGAGAAGCCTTATTCGTTCGTGGATACTGATTTGAGTGTAATTTTTGGTTTCCTTTGCCTGACGACTTCGACGGAAGTAGCCTTTCGGGTTGTGGACAAACATTGAAGCCACGCTGAGTTTTGTATAAAAGTTTGTCGCATTTATCGTTTTTAAATACAATACTATCACAATTCTGTTCTTATTTTTTCTTTTTTGTTATTGATATGAGGTCTTTAGAGAAGCAAGAGAATCGACCGTTTGCCTTACCGCACATTAAAAAACGGAAATAATTGTTTGGCGTGTTTGCTCGCTTAAGTTCAGACCTATTAATACTTATCATTCAAGAAATGAGGTAACCAATGTTTTTATTCTTGAGGGCGCTTCTGGTAATCCCTAACTCTTAGCCAGCATTACGTCGCCGGCTTTTTCTCTGGGGTATCCTTAACAGCAAGGGGACCCACTTCCCAAGCCAAGGCTTAAAACATGATTTAAAGTGATTACTCACGTAACATTGCTCAGCAGCTTACATTAAATAAGGCATTCGTTATGCTGCGTCCTATCCTGGAGAGCGATAAAAGTATCGTAACCATAACGTTACTTGCTATTTAACGTTTATCAATTTTTCGCAAAATTTTATTGATAGTCTACCGCCTATAATGTCTATAAAGTAGAACTTTACGAAATTTTAAATCTACACTCTTTAAACTTTCATAAAGAAATCACATAGAAATCTCCTTATATGTAATTATCCAGATTTTAGCTTTGAATGGTTCAGGTTTGCATCGCTATTAGATGGCTTACTCATTAGTTATTACTTTTTACTCATTATCAGTGAGCGCACTGATATAAATTGGAGAAACGTGCTACATTTCAAATTGAAGGGGCAAATACATTAAAAATAGATGAAAAGAAATAATAGCAAGGCTTCTTTTGATTATTGCCTTCGACGGAAAATGTTTGCTTTATCCAAAAAAAAAAATTAAACAAATAACAATTTTGAATTTTATCTCTGCCTCAGGTCAGTACGTGATGTTTTTATACGAATATTTAAAGGAGTGGCGCAAAAACCCACAATGCTCCTCTTCATGCTGTCTGGCTTTGCTCCTTCCTCTGAACGACTTGCAAGGAGAGATTCGAGGTATGGTTGGCAAAAACTTGATGAAAACTCAGCTTGACACAGGCATGTTGGCGAAACCGTCCATTGCTGCCACTGCAAAGGACAGTGGAGCTATGAGCTTTACTCTTTGTGGTGAAGACGTCGAACCCGAAAAGGAAGACAAACGAAAAGATGAAGCTGTCAAAGACAGCAACAGAAAACGTCATCGCTGGACACAGACAGAAGTTGTAATGCCACCTTTTGCTTCAACCGTGGAATCTGGATCAATGAGAGGGCAGCAGCGAATAAACAGGTGAGTGTGATAAGTATTTTCAGTATTTTTATCAAAGATACAGAAAACCTTGTGTGCAGCATTTAAACAACCTTTTGCGAATATAATGAGCCATCGTCTGGGTGAGTGTAGTCCTGAGAAGGACTGTTGTCGGTAGTGGTGACTGACGTTTGGACAATCTTAGCGGAAGTCATCTTCAGAGTCAAGTGAATAGTTGTTGTCAATCGAATGTTCTTAGTCCGGTAAGTATAAAGTATCAATCAGTATAAATCAGTATATATATAAAATCTGGTACCAATCAGTATAAACTGATTGGTCAGTTTTGCCGTGATGTTATTGGCTGTAAGACTCAAGTGGACTATTAAATTATCAGAACGCTGAAGTTTCTGATGGAAAAATAACCGTACCTTCTATCTCTTTTCTATGTTCCGTTGATAGGTAAATATGCTCTTTTTCTTCCATACCAAAATCCAGACTTTCCATTCTCAGCACATTACATATTTAATCACTTGGCTGCGACTTTCTCCGTTTTGTGATAATTATTGTCGATTTTCTTTGTCTTATAGCCTTAGCTTTTCTTACTGTCATCTCAAAGTCAGGTTTTGTAACCCTTTGGTTATTTTAAATTATTTTTTAGTTCTGTTTCTTAAAATGGTGGAAAAAGAAGTGGAAATACATGACCAAATCGCATTTGTAAAGGAATAGCAGCGCAAAGAGCGAAACAAAATCCATCTTGATTTGACACAATGCCCATTTCGCCAGAGCTACTTACCTGGCTTGAAGCCAAGAGTCCATCCGTGTGCGGGCGAGAAAGCAGAATTTAAAATTTTTCCTGCATTGCAATTACGCAAATGATATCTGGTAGTGACAAACTCGTCAACGTGTTTCTTTTAATGTTGTCTTTTTGCAAGCAGTATGAAACAGAATGACTGAGTAAAACCTATACTAAAATTCCAGGAGGATGGAGCTCCTCCAAAAATTGTACTATCGATACCTTTTTTTTCTAGACTTCAGCCTTTAATGCATGAGATGCATACCTCTGGAGAAAACTGTGATGCATCAGAAACACTGAAGACATTCATAAAGAATGAAGCAGAGGGTAATACACCAGAGAAGCAGAAGGAAGGCTTAAAGATTGTACCTGAGGGCAATATACCACCAAAGCAAAATGAAGGCATGAAGATTGAAGCAGAGTGGAATGCACAAGCAAAGCAGAAGGAAGGCATGAAGATTTTAGTAGAGTGCAACGCACCAACAAGGCAGAAGGAACGCATGGAAATTGCATCAGAGTGCAATGCATCGGCAAAGCAGAAGGCATTCATGAAGAGAGAAGTAGAGAGTACTGTATTGGCAAATCAAGCGGAAGACATGAAAATTGCACCAGAGTGCAATGCACCAACAAAGCAGAGGAAAGGCGTGAAGATTATGGAAGAGGGTAATAGAGTGGCAAAGCTGAAGGCATTGATAAAAAGTGAAGCAGAAGGTAATGCACTGGCAAATCAAAAAGAAGACATGAAGATTGTAGCAGAGTGCACCAGCAAAGCAGGAGGAAGGCATGAAGAATGAGACAGGGGGCAATGCACCAGCAAAGCAGAAGGAAGGCATTAAGATTGTGGCAGAGGGTAATGCATTAGCAAAGCAGAAGGAAGGCATGAAGAATGAAGCAGAGGGCAATACACCGGCAAACCAAAAGGAAAGCATGAAGATTGTAGCGGAGGGTAATACAGTCGCAAGGCAGAAGGCATTCATGAAAAATGAAACAGAGAGCAATCCACCTGAAAAGCCAAAGACATAACTGAAATTAAAACCCGAGGCCATAAACTTTTAATCAATCAGTGGAATGTTTGCTATCGCATAAAGTGCTAAACCATACATTTAAAAACAAGTGTAGCGAAATTATTGTATCCCTCATTCAGATAGGTTTTAGTTAATGTAGAAGAGATATGTTTTATAGAAGGGGCTTTGTTTATAAACAAAAGAATCCCTCAGACTATGTATTTGTATCAAGCATAGGTGCCGTGATATATTTCAGTATCTAAATTCCATTTCTTTACTTTTATCGCCTTTAAAATCCTATACTCGATATCGTTAGCTTGTGTACTATTGTGAAGCTAATATGTAATTGTAGGCGAGTAAAACCATCGTCAAGTCAGTTACTCTTTTTTTGCAATAGCTTGGAGGAAGGATTTTTTTCAACTTACGTGGAGTGTAATAAACATTTGTAATCACTAGATGGCTGCTTAGCAGGTACAAACCGCAGGAAAAATACAACAACAATGACGAAAACAAAAGATCTAAACAAAGAAAGCAATAAGTGATATTTTGGGCTACCCGATCCAAACAAATAATGGCATCTGATTCACCAGGTGACCATCAGAATTACCTTGGGCCTGACAACGGTGAGATGAATGCACCTGGTGCTCCAGCTGGTAATTTTTTCATAAGAGTTGAATGATATGTCAAGATATCTTAAATTCCTTGCCGTCCTTATAAAGCAAAGAGATGTCCGAAAAGTCCTCAGCGGTAGCGTTCACATCGACCCGGAATTTGTACTGAGATAATCTTATTGAAAAACTAACGGAACAATACAACCCAATATGCTGGTTACATGATGCGATACATATACCACTTTCAATTTAAGGAATTAATTTAGAATAACGACGTATGCATGTTATTTTATAGTGAGTGGATATTTATATGCAAAGCTCTCAGAGAATCGACATTTATCGGAACTCAACGGCACGCTTTGTTACCATCATGAAGAATGGTGATTTACTATTCAGATGTTCTGTAACTGTAAAGCGTTCAAGAGTCAACGTAAATACTTTTACCTTACCAGTTATAAAAATTAGAATTAGAGAGCACCTGGATATCTAACGAATCTTGCTATATGTAATAAAGCTGTTGCACATCGATAACTATGTTTACAGTTTTGTTAGGTTATTTTTACCAGCTTTTAATGTGAAAGTAAATACGAGGTTCTCGGAGGAAAAGCCGATATAAGTATAAAGTTCCCACTGTAGAGAAACGTGTTTTTAATTCATAATTAAAATTGCAAATTACACGAGCATTTAGATTTCCAAACCACTGGGCAATGAGGCAAACAAAAATGGAACAAGACAACGGCAGCGGAAGCAATCGGTTTTACAAACTTTAACGCAAAAATACATCACAAAAGTGAACTTGTCTCACGTTTCAAAAACGGGAACAGATGTCGCCAAAGGGAATATCAGAGTGGTACAAAAACAATCAAGTTCTTTGATAAAATAGATAAAAAATGTTTCATAAGGGAATTTGTTGCCCTGCCATTTGTAGCCAGCTGTGGTCCGGGTTCGATTCCCGGACCTGTCCCATGTGGGTCGAGTCTGTAGTTGGTTCTCGTCCTCACTCCGTGGGTTTTTATTCAGGTTCTCCGGTTTTCCTCCCCTTTCAAAAACCAGCATTCCAAATTCCTTTTATGATCAAACAAGAGGTCGTAATTTATCATATCTTGGATCAATCTCTTCGTTATATATTGTTTCCCCAACGATATGTGAAGCTCTACGCTTGGCTATAATTATCATTAATAGTGCTAATAGTGTACAAAGTTATGATAGAAACTCTTATTTTCAGCGTCACGAGTAAATACATTGATTAATTGATTCTTTCGTTCATTTAATACGATTCAGGCGTACTTTTGTTCGAGTATTCGTTCAATTCATTCGTTCTGCGTTATGCTGAGTTACTCGTTAATTCTTGGCAACTTTTCCTTCGTTGATTCCTACGCTCTAAAAGTTCGTTGTTTTCTGATGTTTCTATTGATCTTTCATTCGTTTGCCAGTCTATTCTCTCTTTCCCTTGTTTAGTGTTTTATTAGTCACTAGTTGTTCCCTTGGATCATTCATAGGTTTGCTGGCCTGTTCCTCAACTTCAATATCTCCTCAAAGTTCACACTGGTTATCAACAGCAGAAGGGTACTGCTACATATGATTTTCGGCAACATGATCACTAAATAAACTAAATCAAAACTGCCGAAAATGTTGTTAAATATATTACAATTAAGGTCATCCTCTTTCTGGAATTGCTCAGACAGACGAAATGAATCCTACTTTGAGCTGATATCTTACTAATAGTTGTGCAACCGACTCTAAGTCGCGTTATGAAATATTCGGCGCAATGGGATTTTCCTGTTAAAATGATTGTCCCTTTGATATTAGGATTAAGGTCTAATAATAAAGATTGTTATCGCTTTAACACCAAGTGCAATGTGATATATTACTGATTTGAAAACTCAAAAGATACCGATAATTCTGCTAAAGTTTGTTTATCCTTGGAGATATTTTTCATGTTGATGAAGTGAAAAACAGACAACAAACATATCACGATCAAAATTATCCTCTTTCAAAAATATATGAAAAGCGTGCTTGGGTAAAATAAACAGAAGCTTTTAAGGTCTTTTGTTTTAAGTTTTTGTTTTATTTTTGTCACCAAAATAGTTTTCAAAACGGTTGCCCAGAGGTAAATCGTCAAAAAAGATGTTCAATCGATTTCATAGCCAGTGTCCAAAAACTTTTGTTTACTCGTAGTCGTCCTTTTTTGTTTTTTGTTTTTGTTTTTGTCTATACGTTTGTTTTCCTGTTCATTAGCCCAGTCATTCTCTTGTTCAATTCTTTCGTTTTTCCTTCGCTCACTCGTTTCCAGTATGTGATCCTTCAGTGCGGAGAGGAGCAGGGGTTTAATTTCCAAAGGGTGACTAACAATCGAGCTAACTTACCTCTCGAATTAAATTCCTGCTCAAAACTTATTATTTCCTTTTCACTCCGAAAGGGTATTACCAATACAATTTTTAACAATTATTACCAACTTAACCAACAAAATCTATCTTCTATATAGAATGGCCTTCTTATATTTTCTCAATTGCGGTCTCACCGACTTACAGGCGCGTTCTTAATTTTCACGATGAGATTTTCCAGATAAAAGAGATTCCCCACGATATTAAGATCAAAGCAAAATAATTAGCGGTTCAAGATCCTTTGTATTATAGTGAAGTGAAAAGTTGCAGATATCATATATTTAAAATTACGGTTAACCTCGAAGTTTCGATATCAGCAACAAACAACTCTCCACGTCATGGCATTACACTGCTCACGGAAAACAAACAACAAATCACGATGGATCGGGAGTTGGGTTATCTTCCTACAACTTTTACAAGTAACAGAGATTCAGAAACGGATGCATCGCTCGGATAAAGTAAATACAAAATGATTGAATTTAAAAATAACAGAATTCACACTGTGCTTTGTATTTGTATTTTCCTCTACCATAACCGGATTTACCAAGAGAGAGTTACATATGCAACACATCACATTCACTGGATTGGTAACATTGAAAAACACTCATTCTCTCCAAAAGTTAGTGATTACTTTAATTGAGAGATACTGTAAATACTGAACAAGGATGAGATAATAATGATTTAATGCTTTAAAATCAAGTAATTATTCTCTCTTTCAACTGCTGTCGGGTTAAATATATTGGTAGATGTTTATAAAAAAAAAAAAGATCTAAACGCTATTTCCGATTATTTACATTTTTTTTACACTGCTTATAAAAGCACATAATGTCCTTTCAATGTCGTATTTCAAGCTTCATGAAAATATACGCTTTCTTTGTATCACTCAGGAGTACTTGAGAAGCATCACCATTTCGACCGATTCAGACAGTTATTTCATTCACACTATTTACAACGAAAACAGCTGTTATCAATTTAATTCGTCTGGAAGATTTTCAGTTTTTAAATATTAACTTTTTTATAATCTCATACCACAATTTTATGGACCTTGTCTATGCGGTGAAGATCTTTAAGCAATCACAAGAGACTAGAAAATAGGTCACGGAGCAAGGAAAACTCGGTCTGTTGTCCGTCACAGAAATACAATAACGATGTTTGAAGTATTTTGAGGTTGACTGGCTACTTCAGGAGTATGTTTTCTAACATTGCGAACAAAGTGGAATAATAGATGATTTGGCGACGTGGAATATCTTCTGAGATATTCTAAGTACCAAAATTTTGGCTCTTATAACTTCTCAATCCTTATAATGGAAAACCTTGTAACATGAGCTCCCTTGTAATGGTCACGCAATGCCGGGGAGAGAAGAGATTGCGTGACCAGACCAAGGGAAGTGACAAACAATTTTTACATTATCAAACATGAATTTGTCATTTTTCTGGTATATGACACCAAGTTTCCCCAAGTAAATAACCATCTTGCTTTTCTTTTCATACACGCAGACAATGAGATATGGCGATGTAAAATCGAGTTTTTATGAAACGACGCAAGATCGTGGTAGGACTCCTCCTTTGATCATTTAAACTGCATGAGACTCCGTGTAATTGAGAATCTAGAGTAAATGTGTAGTTTGGTTCTCTTAAGACTTAAAAAACGCTTGAAGACATTGTTTTTTTAAAAAACAGGATAATCCTGTTACGCCCAATGAATCATTTTTCTGCAGTACATATCCTACATTTGCTTCCACCCTTAGAGTTTTCGATATTGCTTCTCGCCGCCCATGCGGAAATATTCTAATCGCTCTTTCTGTAAAGCCAACATTTATGATGCGTGGTAATTTTCGGGAAAATATTCACCCCATGATTCGATTCCCCCAAATTACAACAATACTCGTTGAGTTAAAACAGCATCTATTTTTTTAAATTTGTTAACAACATGAAATTTCGGCCGAGTGTTGCTTGCCAACTATCATAATCGCAAATCTGCAATATCTGAAAGAATCTTTTGAGCAATTACGTATACGTAAACAGCTCTCTAAACGTTCTCAATTGATATCAAGAAATATTATTTCTATTTGAGCTGAATTAGCCGTGAAACCTTTGTTGCGTTTCAGTACAAATCAGTCATCCCTCAATTTCACGATTAACAACTCAACGTAATTAAGGTTGACTTGGATAGGAAAAAATCGTTTGTTTTCGTGTGATAACTTTGAGGATTTTTTCTATCGGGAGGTCTTAAATTGGCTTAAAAAAATTACGTTAAATCTGTAATTAGTTTTGAGGTTGTCACTTTAAACTTTGACCACTCGAACCCCGCATTTCCGCAAACGAATGAAAAAATCAATTTGAAACTTGAAAGTTCGCGTGTCTTAACAATTTCGTGGTTTTAATTCTCTCCAGCAGATTTTTCGGTTTCTCTCGAATCTGTGAGAAACTGCCATTGCGTTGGGTCACAGGCTTCTCTTAAAGCGAGGAAAACAAAATGGGGAAAAGTCGAGTCGAAACTGTTTCCTTTTTTTACTTGAAAATTTAGACAAAACTAGACTTTGATATTATCTGAACGTCACTATACCACCTAAATCACGCGAGTTCTACCATAACTAATATTTGGGCCGGAAAAGCAACAGCAGATTCCAACAAACGGTATCTTTCATTTTCGCCACCAACCCCGCGTTGAAACCACCACATTACCACGATACGTATTTTTTTCATTCCATAATTATATGGTCCCTGTTCGTCTGCTTGCATTACGCGAGTTGTGATATGAGCCTGCTCAAGCTATATTCATCTCTTAATAGTGACGTACATTCTTTTAAACTTCAAAATAATTCTTTATGAACATCAGATCAAGTGGTCAGAGTGTTGGAATAGAAATCTTTTCAAGAAAGCAATTAATCGTTTCGCTTGGTAGATTTTTCCGGAAATTTCACGGTTTTGCTGTTAAAGCAAACGGTTTCTACACCACTGTTATGGGAGAGACAGCCAGACTGGACGTTTTGTGGATGATTTTTGAGCCAATAACAGACTGAAGAATTTCCATGGTAAGTTTTTGAGTAAATATCGAGTAGAAATCCTCTCTCACAGAGATGTCTCGGAGCATTCAGTTTGCACAAGTTCCCTGATAGTTCAAAGATCGTAGCTGCCCTGTACTCTTCTTAAACTCGCTTATTTAGCGATATGACTTAGAAGTGAAAGAGGTATTTTTCCGTCGCTAACCGCAAAAACCTTGAGAATGAAAACAGTAATGAATAGCCACAAATCATAGTTTTCGCTGTTTTGCCGTCATACAGGGAGAGTTAACCTCGTCGAACGCAGAATGATAATTCTTTTCAAAGACTGTTATTTAAAATGTTTCTTCTTTTCTGTTTAGAAACCAGCACTATGAGAATTGCTGACAACTTCCCGCCATCAAAAAGTTCTGTTGCGACAGTTGACGCCGAAAACTCGACGTTCCATTTACAATGGGGTAAGCGATAGCAAATAGAAAACTCAAATCAATTATTGTTAAGTTGAGCGTTCGGGAAACAAAGTTAAGTTCGAAACGAGAACGTGATAGTCGAAATGAAAAGAAAAAAACCGAATATTTTTAGCTTCTGATGGGTGAATTTTGAGAGCTTATTTACGTAAATGGAGTCGGTAGAAATGGCGGGAGTTTGAAGAACAATACTCAACAAAAATTCGGAATTTTTAAGGAAGTACGGATGTCTATAGACGTTCGCGATCTAGAAGTGGAATAAATAAGTTCTATTTCTGTTTTTCGTAAGAAGTTAACACCGATAAATAAAATCAACCAGAATCTAACGAGTTATTTTTATGTCTCACTTGAAAAATTGATCCTAGACCTCGTTAACGTTTCCGTGATTTTTTTGTTTTGTTTCGTTTTCTTACAAGTACTGTCACGATTTAAGTGTTAAGAGTCCGAATCTGTAAGAGAACAATCTCTTCTGTATGTTTTTTTTTTGCTTTGATTTTCGTCGGGAAAATGGTCTAGCTAATATCAAGGCTCAGAAATGTCCAATATTCTAATATTAAACTTAAAATCACTTATCATCAAAGCGAAAGAAAAAAGACAAATCCCTTACACGACTTAATTTTGTTCTTATATCCGGTGAACAGAGAATAACAGCATTTTATAGCGGGTTCAATTCTTCTGAAGGTGTTAAAAGTACTTCGAACAGTGTTTCCGATATTGATGGAACTGAAAACCTTAATGTGGAAGCATCACGTTTAAAAGATAGCCTAAATTTCATTATTTGAATGACTGAAAGATAGGGGTACATGATAATAAGCGCAGATAATTTCTTTAATGAGAAGCGAAACGGAAAGCGCGGCCTAACATCTTTGCGTCTGACTCTGTATGAGCAGCATTAAGGTGCTGCTCGAGATAAAACAATGGCTTGATAAAATCATTAAGAACATCACAGCTAAACCAATAATCAAACTAATATTTTTCGAAACTATTTTTAGTCTTACATAACCCTTAGCGTCCGTACGGGACTATGCTTGGGAAAAAGTATCTGTCGTTATTTGGGTGACGAAGATATACCCTCTTTTCTCCATCTCTGAAACGAGTAAAAGTCTGAGGACGCCTTGACGCCAGTTGATATTCAACTCTTGTCTAATGGAGCGAAAGAATTTCCTCTGATCTCCTCACTATGTAACGAAAATGTAGAAAAATAAACCTTATAATGGAAAACCTTGTAACATTTTTACAATTTTCCTTTTATAAAGTTTCCTCATTTTGTCAGTTAAGAATATATACGTCTGTGTCTTCCTCATTTTTTATCTCACACATCAAGAATTTTGAGAAGACAACAAATTTGTGGTACTCTTCTAATTGGTTTTGATATGGCTGGTTATTTTTTTTTATTTTTAGCTCGGCATTTCTAGCAGGTTCCTCGAACTCTTAAATGGCCTTTCTGCTTGATTTCATTTTTCATCCAGATGATCGAAATATCGATTCACCTGATGCAATATTGCATGAGCCTGGTATCGTTAAGAACCTCTGATTGTCATTTCTTCCAGTGATTCTTTAGTCATGACGGAGACCTCCCAAGAAAACATCTATCAAACAAAATAAAATCAGTTTACTTGTCCAACATTTCGCGAGTGCCTCGAAGTGTTTACCGTCTTAGACGGCGCCAGATCTCCTCTTTAGCTTAACATGTTTAGAAAGCTTTGAGAACAATCTAAATAGGGAAAACTGAGTAATGTTTTGAATGCTCTCTTGTTGTTGGCACGTAAGAGCTTTGCAAAGGAAGCTGATTAATACGGTCATCAAAATCAACGAGACATGGCAAGTGTCCTTTATAACCGGGTTTCCCTAAACTGAGTTACACATGCGCAAAACTAGGTTTCCCCTCTTGATTTCAGTCATCGTCACGCTTTAGTTGTCACAGCTTTCCTGGCCTTGGACAAAATCACAACCATTTGCATCGCTGGGGTTTTATGCTGTATTCCTGTGTTAAATATCAAATCGTTATAACTTGGATAACTGAGAAGCACTTACTTGAAACTACCAGTACCTGAAAAATACTCTCTTTTGCTGTAAGAAGCATTAATTCTGTTTTTGCAAACATAATTCTTAAATTCTGGTCGCCATTTCAGAGAGGGGTCTACACGGGAGTAGGAGAAACGTTTGGTAAAATGTAGGCAAAACTGCAGGTTAAAAGTAAGATAGTTATCTCACGTTGTTGCTATGCCAGGACGTATCCAAGGAGGCTCGATGTAGTTTCATCATCATTCACGACACTTTTCTTTTTATATTTCATTTTTTACGGAACAATATAACCGTGACTCTTCGGTAAAGTCACCAGAGTAACACTAAATCCTTTCAGAAACGTATCCACTTTTTTATTAGAAACACCTGCATTGTAGGATGATTAAAAAATACCCTGCATCTTAACTGTTTTTTTTATTTTTTTAACTTGACTTCAAGACAAACTTTTTTTTGCTGATTCGAGAATTTTTTGAGAACGTTTGATGTTGCTATAGTATATTTCACTTAGAAACGTTTATCACAAATTCTTATGTAATGATAAAGAAAGAAAGGGAAGAGAAAAAAGGGAAATATAGAATGACTGGGATAGCTCAAATACATAAAAAAAAATCGGTGTTAAAAGAAATGAAACCCTTTTGAGCAACCTAAATACATTTTGGCAATGCCTCACTCTCTCACTGGATATGATATAAAAATATATGTGTGCTTTTAGTTAAGTGTAATTTTGGAGGCCGGATCCGCCCGTCGATTATATTAGTCACGGGTATTAATTAAAGCTGCCGACAAATTTTAATCTTTGTCATATATTTTTTCTTCACAGCTTTCATTGTCGCAGCTGTTTGCGGTGGGTTGCTGTTTAGCATGCTCGTGGTTCTTCTTGTGTGGCGATCGCGTGTCCGGTGTAAAAGTTGCCCTAATGAAAACAACAACCTGCCCGAGAGAACAATATCACGCGTGTCTTTTAAAATCCCACAGCCTAAAATCGAACCGATCCTCATTCCCACGCAGTCACGATATCCACAGAAAGAAAATGACGAGTTTGAACCATTCCTAGATCCTGAGATTTACAGGTAATAATTGCAGACCATTATGAAAAAAACATTCTCTGTAACAGTCGACGATATTAACTCAAGTGGTTCTCGTGATATCCAGAATTATCAAAGTCTTTAATGTCAATATCAGCCTGTGTCTCGGACCTATTCATTTGGGCAAAACGTGTCACGTCATTTTGTCAAGTTGTGCACAAGCCGTGTCACGATAAGTTTCCTGTGTAATGTCATATTACAATCAAGTCGCGTGACGCAATGTCACCTGATGCTGTACATTGCCGTGGATTGTGTCCCCTTTGTTGTCATATAATGATCCTTGAACTAAAAATTAGAGGTACTGCCTTTTTAAAATATTTTTATGTGTGTATCGGAAGCACAATTTTAATCAGCGAGATAAAGTGTGGTGTCGTATTGTATCATCGTGTGTCATATCATATCTTATTAAATGGACTGGAGTGTTTTACCGTGAACTAAAACACTTGCAGAATCAATTCGACCCCCACATCCGGGAACTGAGCGGCGTATTTCTTGTATTTGAAACGAGTGGTCATATCGAGCGACGACGTCACGATTCCCGCCTTTGGGCAGCAGGCATTTAGTTTGTATTAATACCCTGTATTTGTGTTAAAGCCAGCTTTTCAATCTTTACCATGTATATTTATTGTCCATAATAAATAGAAACTGTGATCACTCGTTAGCTCTAGATATGAATTTTATGTTCCCGTGGCTAGAAAAATATTTCACCAGGTCGCTGCGCTCACTCGTGAGATATTGTTCTTGCTACTCAAACATTTAATTCATATCTTCTCGTCACCGTGTAATATCCTCTACATTTGTTATCGCATTAGTTATTTCATGGTATCATGTTATTTCTTACATTTCATATCAACCTCCTGTAAGCTTTTCGTTATTGATTTTTCTTGTTTTCAGAGAAGAAGTGACAGGGGAAGGATCGCCATTCCAGGGCTCAGCTAGACTCTGTTTCTCTTTATCTTACGACAAATTCAGCGAGGAGCTCAAAGTCTGTCTCATTCGAGCCACTCGTTTAACACCAATCGGAGAAAACGTCACGGTTACACCATACGTAAAGATATTTCTTCTTCCAGACAAAAAGCGAAAAGCTCAGTCAAGAGTGCTGCGCAGAACATCCAATCCACAGTTCCATGAAGACTTTGTTTTTATGGTTTCACCGGTAGATCTACCAAACAGAACTCTTGAATTTACAGTCTGTGAATTCGATCGATTTTCCCGTCAGCAGGTTATCGGTCACGTGAGATATCCTTTAAGAGATGTGAATGATTTGAACTCAGTACAAGGGACAGGAGAGATCTGGGTTGATATCAACAATGAGGATCTAAAGGTTTGTGAGTGCTGACACCGAACCGACTGAGCTCATAATGCGTCGACTAATTCTAAGTTTCAACATCCTCATCTAAGGTACCACCCCCACCCCCGGGGCATCTGAACTTTTGAAGATTGGTTCATTCATCTTCCCGCCCCTTGGGCCCAAATTGTGTTCTTACGCCCCACCCAAGTGCCGGATTTGACGATCAATTTTTTTTTATGAAAGTAAAGATCAGTGAAATAGAATTTATATTCAATTACTTCACCAGCAATTGATTTGACTATTCAAGCTTTAAAGCCTAGACCATATAGACCTTTTCTACTGAGCCATACGCTCGCGAAAGTAAACTATTTATCTTTAAACACTTCCTTATCAAAATATAAAACACGCATGTTCCGCTGGAAAGACTTGGCACTCCCGGGCAAGGTTGAAATTCCCCAAATGCCAGTGGGGGGATGTCTAAGCTTCAAATTGATTGGCCCATAAATGACGATTTTTCCACCTGTGATGATTATAACAAAGAAGTACCAATTTGGAATTCTGACCGTCTTTGGCAAACGCTTCAGATCTTCCAGTTTTTAGCAAAATAAGAACCATTTTAGTTTGAACAAGTTTTTTTACCTCTGAGAAAAGAAAGAAATACGAATTTTACGATTCATAGTCTAACCTCGCGCCTAGGTCTCGCTCGTGTTTTTGAAATTGCCAAGGGAGGTGTGGGTAAGGTACTTGACATTGTTAGCCTTTTACATCCTAACATTAGAATGCATATTCTTCATACTGTTCTCTATACATTTCCTAAGATGTTGACAAGGAGAATTTGTGTCACAATCAAGAGTTTCTTAAATTGGTGATCATTTACTTTAATCCATGACCTAAACATATGATTGAAGGGTTATACTGTAAGGGAAAATCCAGAGCAAGATTCTCTTATGGGTTAAAGGGTTAATACGTTGGTTATCGGTTTCATTTTCAATCATTTCGTGAACAGAGGGTGCAGTGCGCTTCAAACATTTGTTCCTCGACTAATCTGGCATTTCACCCTACGTTAATGAAGAAATTACATCTCGTGAAAGAATAAAAATAAATTGTGCATGCATAGCGCAATGCAGTCATTCAGCGCATTTTTCAGGGAAAGTCATTTCTGAGATAAAAAACCTCTCGGTCAACTATTATCAGTTCCTGACGAATAATAAACACTTCCCATAGATTAAAATCTAGTTTGTTTATGGTGTGAGAATTCATTTCGTACTTTTTGTTTCTCTTACAGAGTGGAGTAGATAAAGGAGAACTACTGTTTTCTCTGCAGTATCTACCTACCTCATGTAGACTTACAGTAGCTGTCCTCAAAGCTAAAGAATTAAAATTGAACGGAGAAGACACAGATTTGGGTAAGTTCTGTGACGAAGATCCGAAAATGTGGGCGAAAACCAGCTGGCAATCAAAGCTTTCTTTAATTTCTTCCTCTAATATCTTCACGCATGCATCAAATTTGAGCAAATATATGACTGTAAATAAATGAAAATCATATGTGTGAACTGCGGTTGAAGGAATGAATATGGAAGCGATCCTCGCAGCTATGAGCCATGAACGTACGGGATTTGAACCCATGCAATAATGGTGCAGCGCTCTACCAACTAAGCTAGTAAGCCAACTGGGAGCTGGTCGTTATATTGGTTCCAAATAGACCCTAGAGGTGAATAAATGACTGTAAATGTATGAGAATCATATATGCGAACTGCGGTTGAAGAAACGAATGAACACTACTTAAGTAACAATAAAAAAAGGCCTTAAAAAAATTCAGGCTCGTATGGGATTTGCACCTATGACCTTTGCGATACTGATGCATAACTGCGAGGATAGCTTCCATATTCGTTTGAGTAAATTTGTTATCTAACGAGCAATGCTGCCTTCAGAAACTCCTCACTTGACTCTGATGATGACTTCTATCACAAGATGCAACAGAAAAATGTGAAATTACGCTCTTATACACAAAATGGGCAAATATTTTCAAACTCGGATTGGTACCAGTAGCGAAGTTAAGGTGCACCTACCGCTCCCCTAGCCCAATATTAACCCTGAGTTGTTATCAGTTGACTGTTGTTGGGTGAGGGGGAGGGGTAGGTGTGCGGTTTCTCAGATACGGACATTGATCCAAAATTCAATCATGCAACTTTTGATGTCTCTTTGCAAGCCGACAATACAATAGTCTGAGAATATTTGCATTATTTTGTTAACAGTTTCAGAGCTTCATTGTGAATCGTGTGGGAGCTACGTTCGCTCGACTCCTGTCGTTTGGCGTTCGAGCGAACGAAGCTTCGAAACTGTCGGTTGTCTGTGCGAAACACGGCACTCTGATGAGAAATGATATCAATTTTCAGATCCATATGTCAAAGTGTCCATGATAATGGGAGGAAAACCTTTGAAAAAACGGAAAACAATTGTTAAGAAGAGGACAGTATTTCCGGTTTACAACGAAGCTTTTGTATTCTCCATTCTCCCGTCTTGCCTCGATCGCGTGAGCTTCATGTTATCAGTTTACACTGTACCGAGGCTTGGAGGATCCAAGAAGCTGATTGGCCGAGCAGTTGTAGGACCATACATGTACTCAACTGGTCAAGGGCTGTCTCACTGGAATGATATGATCGCTTCACCTCGAAACCCCATAGCACAATGGCATACACTCATATGAGATGTTTATAAATGAGTAATTATCATTCTCAGAGTGCAAGCGTGCGCGGATCTAGATTGAACCCAGTGTTCTGCAGTAATCAGGTTTTAGACAGTAAATATATGACAGAAGTAAGGTTTTGATATTTATTGCACAGTAAACTGGAAATAGTGCCTTTTGCTTTCCAATTTCATTAAATGTTTGTAGGTCCTATGGATGAAACTGTTGAGCTTACAGACGAAAGAGCTTGAAATGAATTTGGATAAAAAAAAAATCCAAATTTTTGCTAGAAGGTGGTCTTTTCTTCTTGTTGTACAGGGTTGTTGTAGTTCAAAGTTCGGAAAACGGTATTATGGTCTATTGTTAAGTCATTCTTCGGAATTTTTAGTTAGAAAACAGCAAGGAGAAATAAAACATGCAGACACTTAAAAAGATTTAAATATTAAAGACAAAAAACAGGTTTACACTAAATATTTTTAAATAGCAACATCTTGATAGTCTTACTGGGCAGTTTAATTCTAGAGATCTCCTTTGTAAATCTTTGAAATATGTTATACATACCTAGGGTAGCATGTTTCACAGTGTTTCAGCAATTGGTTTGGTTGTATTTTCTGGAAAATTTTAGACACTACAATTTCAGATGGCACCTGAAATTGACAGTCAAATTGCTGAAAAAATCATCAAGAGAAACAATTTTATGACCATCAATTGGTTCTCAATTTAGTATGTTGGTTCTTCAGTATATTACGTTTTATTCCTGATGTAAATAAAATAAGCAATATATTCTATATTAATACATTTATATTATTTTACTTGTACTAGAGGGAATGAAATTACCATAAAAAGGAAAATCTCTTTGGTTTTATTTAAAGTCACAAAAAGATCAAACAACAAAAACAATTGAAAGAAAGTTTGAAAGGGTGGTTACAGTAATTTAAAGAACTGGTAAAAGAGGAGAGATTGGAAAATATTAGGAGAGTTCAATATCACCCTTTGTCAACAACCTAGGAACAAGAATGTAGGAATGTACAGAGTTACAGAAAAAGTACTTCAAAAATTCTAGGAAAAAAATTAAGAAATGATGCTTGTTTTCCCCTTTCTAAACTTGCACATGGTTTATGCACCTAGCTGACCATAACCTTTCTAGAGCAATTTAACCTCTTGACCCCTAACAGTGACTTACATCTAATTTCTCCTTACAATATCACCACTGAATCAAACATGAGGGTCACAAGAATAAAGGAACAGATCAGCAACCAAAGAAGCTCTTAACTGTTAGACAAATTCTCTTTGTCAGCACCATGGGAAATGTATAGAGAACAGTATGGAGAATATGCATACAGATTTTAGGGTGTAAAAAGGTAAAACAAAGTTCCTTCCAAATGTCTTGTCTTACTAAATGTCTCAACCACTAACACAGTATTTAGTTAATAACCCCCTTCATTCAGCTGATATGATGGCTGATAACATCCGTGGCTGAGATAGTCTAAAAAAGATAAATATTTGGCCAAGAAGAAAAGAACCACCATTGCCTATAATTCTCACTGTGGATAACTCATGCCAACTAACCCAATATGGTGTAATTTTTTTTCCATTAAAGAAGATATTTTCCTCAGTTTTCACATTGTTTATTAAGGTAATTTAAGATGCATTCAGGAAAAGCAAAATTCAGGGGAAAAGGGGAATACTTTTTGAAAACAAATATTGAAAAACATGTTGTCAGACATCATTCAGGATACAGTTAGGATTTTGAATGTTGTAACAAAGTTTAAAGTTAACCCCTAAGCTTTCATAATATAATTGCAAAGTTGTTATGGTTTCCACCTTTCCGTAAGACCTTCTTTGGGAATGATTTGACCTTAGCATGGCCAGTTTTTCTGAACATGAAGAAACTCAATTTTCTGCTCTTATGGCGGGCACATGCTTTAAACCCAAGACTTTCCATCATAGATACAAAAAGATCGTCATTTAAGTATCTTGAATTGTTCAAACAAGGAAGAGGGAGAACAATAAACAGATATCCTTGGTCCATTATGAGCTGTTGACATTTTCGAAGCATCTGCCCTCGTCTACGTACGTCACCTTCAAAGTTGATCACCAAACTTAAGACAACAACATCATACAGTTCGTTGCCTTCAAGTTTAAGAAAATCTGCCTTCACAACAGCGTCACTCCGCGGATTTAAATCAATAGATGTACACTGAATCCATTTTTGGTGCTTTCTATAGTTATTGTCAAGAGCACCAACATCAAGTAACCTTATTTTTGCCTCTGTGGCTTTAGTTGTGATAGAGTTTACTTTACAAACATCAAAATCTCTTATCTGCTTCAGTATCCATTTTGCTGAGTTAAAACTCCCATGACGAGCCTCTCCAAGTTTCGATGCCTTTTGGTAAGCATTTATACCACCAAGCTTTTCTTTCTTCGCTTCGAGATTCGCAATTTGAATTGACCTATCTTTCATTTGAATTGAGGTATTCCTCCGTAGAGAGTCGATTTTCTTGTTCAAAGCATGGTATTCATTTATAATTCTTCGGTCTTTTCTTGAATTGATCTCCACCACTGGCTTCTTCGGTACCTTCTTCTTTTTCCTAGCTTTTGATTTTTTGACCTTCCTCTCTGTTTCACAGCGTTTGCTTGAGGCAAAAGATACAGCACTAGCAACGTCCGCCATATTTGATGAGAAAGGCCAGGCTACGAAGCAAATCGTGGCCTCTCTTTCGTTCTCTTTAATGTCTGCCTGAGCAAAATGGTGAGTTTGAAGCGAAGTGAGGAGAGCAATCCTCTCAATACTAATGCATCCGTCCATTTCTGAAGTTAAAACGAAATGTAATGAATAAATAAATACTTATATAATAATTCCGGAGGTCTTTTCTGAAATTTCTTGCGGGAAAACGTCATTTACAGTGTTGTTGAAGTTCGTTAACATCATTGTGGAAGATGCTGAACACACTAGTAGTGGAGGCTCAGAAGTTGCTCATTTCCTCTCAATGTACAATATGACTCCATGTTTATTCGTATAAGTCTAAGCAAATTTCGAATAAAATGTATCATAGAGGAAAATACCCTGTTGTCGTGAATTAAACCGATGAACAGTTCATGTTTTTGTATGTTATAGAGCGACGGTACAGCAACAATCAGAACGAGAAAGTTCCTTACTAACCGCCTGCTTCAACGGAAGCAAATGGTAATTCATACCCTTAATGTTATATTTTATTGCCTTGTTGTAGCTTTAATGTGGCTCTTTCCTCAGAATCCTTTGATAAGATCCGGGGGAAATATCTCTTCTTCGTGTAAAGGAGGTCTGTTTTGTACCCGACTTTTCTGTGGCTTTTTAGTGTTGTATCAGTGTATTAGTGTGCCAATTTTGTCCTATTCCAATAATAATTGTATGTACGTGGTAGAGCGTAGATGTAGGTAATGTCCTCATAACTCTTCTCTTATTCTATGTTAATGAAAAATTTTTTTGCCAGAATAAGAGCAGAATTTTTGGTTTAAGATCTTTGTTTGACATATCCTATAGGGATATTCCTTGTTCTGTAGTCCCGAGTTGTTATCAAAGTTCTGCTACTAAACTAATAGACTCTATGTTGCTGTACATTTGTAATAACATCAAAAAGAGGTAAGTAAAAAAGTGGTACACAAGACACAGGGGAGTGTGTCACTGATGTTCTTACCAGATTTTGACATCTTCTGTGATCTAGTTACTTTCTTTCTACATCAAGCCGTTTAAAGCACATGTGTGAACTGATGCAAAACATGCTGATTTGTTCGATTCACAGGTGGTAGATATTCTTCACCCTGGAAGACCAAATGTCTCAAAGGCTGAAGTCCGTGAAAAGTTGGCCAAAGTGTATAAAACCACCCCAGATGTAATTTTCTGTTTTGGTTTTAAAACTGCTTATGGCGGTGGCAGGAGTACTGGTTTTGCTTTGATATACGACTCCCTGGATTTTGCTAAGAAGTTTGAACCAAAGTACCGCCTGACTAGAGTGAGTTAAAGTACATTTACATGAAATTAAGCCCATAATTCATGTCAACTCTAAGAGTAGTTTGTACACTTGTGCAAACATTGTTACTCAGTTAAAGACAGTGTTATATTGCTGTCAGACTTAAGATCCAAACTTCCAATTACCTGGTATTGTCTAATTGTTAATAAACAAAGAGGGTAAGTTTCTGAAGAAACTGTGGTGCTACGTCTGTGGGGGAGTATAACAAGATAATGTTGGTTTTATCAACTGAGTCGATAATGTAAATTGCCACTGTAAAGAATTCCAAAGCTGATGCTTTGAACATTAGCCCCTCATTGTTTGCTCTGATGGAGAGCTAATGCTTGAAATGTCAGCTTTGAAAATCTTTATGGTGGCCAATTTACATTATCAACTCAGCTGATAAAACCAGAATTAGCAAAACTTGTCAGGAAAAAATTGCTGAATGGCAAAAGTACCCTAGGAATATTGTTATACTCTAACCTCTGAAACTTTGAATCAAAATTTTGATTTGGGCTGTTATGTTTTGCTGACCATTTTAATTTCTTTCATCACCTGTCCAGCATGGACTTTATGAAAAGCCAAAGTCATCACGCAAACAGCGAAAGGAAAAGAAGAACAGAATGAAGAAGGTTCGTGGAACAAAGAAGGCTAAAGTTGGTGCTACAGGAAAGAAGGTTAGTTAGTTAGTTATTTATTCATTGTCAAATTTTTATTTTGTTTCATTCATGGAGGACTGCATTGGCTCTGCTTAATAATATGCCCTGAGAATGATCTTGAGAATTCACTGTACCCTCTCAGCAAATCACCCTTAAAAGGAAAAGGGTAAAAAATAAAAGTGATCATGTTTATCTTGGTTCTGTTTTTTGGATGTGAGGTTATCTTAGTTCATGAGTAGTGATCAATTGATATAAGGAAGGAAAATGGTTCCTTTACTTGTCATTTTTTTGTTTCTTAATCAAAATGAAAATAATTACAAGGTTGGATAGCTAATACTTTCATGGGGAAGGATATTCATGGGATTATTTCATTTCAAACTTAACTGTGTGAGAAAACAATTATACTGTCAGTCATTCATATTTTGTTTCTCTTTTCCTTTTCAGTAAAATGGTCAGCTGTCTTTCAACTTCCAATGCTCAGTAGTTGTATCATTAAAATGTAAAGTGATTCAAACTTGACTCTTGTCTTTTGTTACTCAACAAAGTAGCTGACTTTTAAACATACGCAAGAGTGACTCATTGCTTGCAAAAAGCAAATCTCTTTTTGGAAAAAGGGGGGGGGGGAGGAAAGTGATGGTGAAGGTAATGAGTAAAAAATAGAAATTTGCAAAGTTGTCTTTTTATAGACCTAAATGTTTGAAAACTTCTATCCTTTGTCCTTAAAGAACTCTGTAAATGTCCAGTAATTGTTCAATTTACACACTATAGACACAACCAGCATGAGCTAAGTTTTAGTCTCTTGCTTAGTGGAAGCAAGAGGAAGAGCTTATGCCTCACTTTCTTCTGCCAGACCTATAATGTTGTTTTTGCATTGCCTCTTTTTTGTTCACTTCTGCTTATTAAGACCCTGACAAGCTACACCAGCAAACTTATTAGTAGCCATTTAGTCCCAATACTAGTTGTTGATACTGTGTGACCAGAGAATTGTCTTGTCTTCCTGAAATGTTTGAAAGAGGTCAATTTCTAATCTTTCTTGGAAGAGTTAACCCTTTGACCCCTGAGATACTAGTATCTAATTTCTGCTTATAATATAACCCACAATGCACATTAAGTTCATGAGAATAAAAGAAAAGATCATCCTGTTTCCTTACACGGAACTGGCTAAATCAAATGACCACCACAAACCGCATAATATCAAGCCAAGCTTTAATAACTATTCGATCTAAAAGAAATACATTTATAATTAGCAATCAGAACAAACGCAAGTCAAGCCTTAATCTTGTAGCTAAATTAGAAATCTTTAATGCAAACTTACTTCTGTGGTGGGTTGTTACAACAGTCTCACTTTACAGGTTAGCAGATTCTCCAGGCGGATTTAGAAACAGAAAAAATTATAACAAAATAACTTCTTTCTCACTTTGATTCCAGTGAAAAACTGACTCGAAACATAATAATCTAACACTTTTAAATCAATCCATGGAATTAATGATAATCACGATTCTTGTCATTAAGTAAATCTATCAACAAGAGGCAAAGCCTATTTGATAAACGAAACACACCCTTGAAAGAAGCTCTTTATTTTTAAACAAATTCTCCTTGTCAGCATCTTCGGAAATGTATGAAGACCAGTATGGAGAATATGCATACTGATGTTGGGGTGTAAAGGGGTCGAGGGAATCTGTTAGAAGAGTAGCTGTTGAAAGAGAGAGGCATTCTATTTGTTGGATAATCCATTATCTGATAGTCTTGTGTAGTTTATTTTAATTAGTTTCACTTCTTAAATTAGTTTGTGCAAACAATACACCATACCTTGTATTCATAGCAATGCAACAGGCTCATTTGCCTTTTTCTTACCCAGACGCTATCAAGGTTTTCGTTGCCCCCTTTTTTGATTACCTTTACTGGCTGGGAGCAAGGTGCAGGCAACCACATGTTCATGTTTCATTTTCCAGTACTAGTATCCAAAGTAAAAGCTCAGATTGACTGAGTCTGGTATGCAAAGTTTATGAACTTTGTTTGAAGCAACTGGTCAATGCCTCAAAAAAAATTATGGAAGGACAAATGTGTCTTTTTTTTAGAATAGTTTTTGCACTGAGTCTTGGCATACAGTTAAGAAACACCTGTGGTAGAAACTTAGGAAAAAAAGTCAAATGTAAGCAATCAAACCTGCAAATTAATGTTTATGCCCTTCTCAGTTATTATGCTATGAGCTATACCTGTACACTTGAAGTTGAAGCACTTAGTCCACTTTGGTTATTCATTACCAAACATATATTTGGAAATAGTTTAAGTGTAAACCTTGTTCAAGCCTTGTACCCTAACCACATCCTGATGGGACAAACATTCAAGTGATTAAAAAAATGTCAAAGTCAAGCCTTATACCCTAACCACATCCTTATGGGACAAACATTCAAGTGGTTAAAAAAATGTCAAAGTCAAGCCTTATACCCTAACCACATCCTTATGGGACAAACATTCAAGTGGTTAAAAAAATGTCAAAGCCTGGCATCAGAATGTTATATCTTTTTATTTGTCTTTCTCTTCCTTTCTTTAAAAACTACATTATCAATTAGCAGTGTCATTAGTAGTTACTTGACCAAGCAAAATTATGATTCAACTACTTCCCTTTAAGAGGGCTGACTAAGTGTGCAGATAAGTGGATTTGCCTTGGACACCATGGATTGGGAATATGCATGAAATAAAATTTAACAGATTTGCGGGTATTAAAATCACTTAGTACAAGGATTGCAGAGACTGAAAACTTTTGGCCTAAATTCAAAATTATGATAATATGGGTCCAAGATTAAGTATTAAATTACCACAGTTGGTGGATATACATACTCTTTTCACCCTCCTTTAAAGCAGGTCTTAAGCAAACTTGTGTCATTTTTTATTGTTCTGATTCTAAGTATTTCTGTGTATTTTTTTACTTAATACCAATAACAGTAAAAAAGAAAACAACAAAAGCACAACTTCAGCTGCAAAGAGAAGGTACAAATTAAAAAAGGTTAAGGAGAACAATAACTCTGCTACTAAATTTACAAAATTTACTAGATTTCTTAGCTATCATCTAAATTACAATATTAAATTATCAAATTTCTTGCAGTATGAGAACAGCAAATACAACAACAAAATATACAGGTTAAAAATGCTGCCTTCCCATGCTATGTGTATGTTTCATGAAGAGGTCTGTCCTCTTCGTGAAATTCTATGATTAATACCAGTTGTAATTTATTCCTAATCATTCATTCCTCAAACATTTTTAAAGATGACTTTTACAGCTCTGCCCAAGATTCTTCATGAAAAACTCCCTTATTTTCTGCCAAGAGTCCTCTTGAGCTTTTGCATGGTTATGTGTATTTCCTCCCCACACAAAGTTTGCCTTAAGACCCTTGTGGTAGGATGCAAAACAATGTGGTGCATATGGAGGTTCAATTAGGTGACCTGTGCCTGGATAACTCAACACAGAACACAAATCACCCTTGCTGCAGGAATTCATCCGTGTACAAATTTCTTGTGCCATTTCAACTGCTGCCAATTCTAGATCATCTTCTCCACAAATGATCAACATGGGACAATCAATTTTCTCCACTGGGATCACGCAGGAAGGTTCAAATTGGTTAAAATCATCAACTGGGATGCAGTCTCGCAAGATTAATGCCCCATCTGAGGTCATAATAGCTTTCGAGCTATCATAGTACATCCCTGATAACTGACCCCTAACCTTAAATGCCGAGGCTGAGATTACTAAAGAAGTAGAAATTGGCACAATTGCTTTCACAATATCTGTTCTGTTTGCAGCCATCATTAAAGTTATTTCTGCTCCTTTTGACACACCCATGACACCAATTCCTTGTTGTACAACAGCAGGATGTTTCACAAGCCAGTCAGCCGCTTCCTCAAAGTATTCCAGCTCACAGAATGGAAGATACTTTGGTAGGTCATCATATGCAAAATATGCCAGTGAGAGGACGGCAAACCCATGTGATGCCAGAAGGGAGGCTTTGAATTCTATCAAGCCTCCTGCTGTTCCAAACATATCAATGACTCCTAATTAACAAAAAACAAAGCAGAGTTAGTGTCTACTCTCCTTGTTCATTTGCGAGTAGCCTAGGATCAGAAAAAATCTGGTTGTTTGAAAAGCTAGCCTACAGTCCCTTACAAATGAAAATGGGAATATCCCCTATTCCTTTTAAAATAAAGTGGCTTTGACTTAACCTGTGACCCTAAAATCCCTAAGAGTGACTAGCATCTTATTTCTCCTCACAAAAGCAGCCTTGAATCACACCTTAAGGTCACAAGAATAAGGAAAATCATCACTAACAGAAGAAATCCTTGAATGTTCGACAGATTCACCCTGTTTGCACACTAGCAAATGTATAGAGAACAGTATAGAGAATATGCATACTGATGTTGAGGTGTAAAGGATAAACATGCTGGAATAACAAAGAGTTTATCTTGTACATAGGCACAACCCCAAATTATAGAAAGCATAAGCAAATAAACATTGAGGATTGTGAGGGATGAGTGCATTTACAATGGTTGCAAAGCACTGACTTAACATTTTTCAAAATGTAAAAGCTGTGACAAGACCACTTTTCTTCATCAAAGACACTGACCTGGGAATGTTCCACTTCCTGGAGGTAGGAACAAAGTTCCACGTATCCTCCCTTCTCTTACAGGAATTCTCTTTACTCCTTCAGCCATGTACCACTTCTCCAATGATGAGCTCACAATTGGCTGCAAACTGTTTCTTGCTAAACTATTCACAAATCCATCCTTTGGTGACAGATGTCCATCAAAGCAGTTCAGTTGAATTGAGTAAGGTTTTGTGACATCTTTCTTTGCAAGTCTCAGTCCTTTTCTCTGACCAGGAGCCTGTGTCATGCTCCACAGGAATCCCATTTGTTCAATTCCAACATAGGAACCACCATGTGAAGCATCAGTTGAGTTATCAATTTTTCCTTAGGAATAAAATTAAAGTGGTCTAAGAATTTTTAGACAGATAAGTTCTGATGCAATAGTAGAGCTTCAAGTAAGTCAAGATGCCAGTAAAAAATAGTGCAAAGGAAAAATTAACTGAGTCACATACTGAATACTCTAAATTGGTAATAAACCTTTCATTTTTGTTAAAGTGGCAAACTCACATATGTACTAATGTACAATTTTCAGTTGAGTGAGACATGATCTAAGGAAGTTTAGTAACCTTGTTTTAACATCAAAACTGAGTTGTTGTGACAGGTAACTGGCTCTGTTTCCAGTGAAAACATGTTGTTTGACTTCTTTAAGAGTGCTTTTACATTTGTCAGTTGGTGACTCATGACTCTTCCAGATCAGTTACCACTGGAGACGAGTTTTAAGGTCAAAAGCCCATCACCAAACTTTTTCTGCACCTCACTGTACTGATAATTGTAATAGTACATTGTCTTCAGTTAGTTTACATAAAGCAACAAATTGCATCTTCCACTAGTTTATTAACAGAACAACTAACTTCAGACGTTTGTGCAACACTTGAAAGCCAAACTGAAGGCTAGTGATTTACTCCTCTTTGCAACATCCAGAGAGGGTTTAAGTTGTTGATGCCAAATGGCACTATTCTGAAGCTGTTATTCTTGTAAAACTGAACTTGTTCTCCACATGTCTGGCAAATACCTAGAGCCCCCCCTCCTCAGACCTGATGTCCTTCCACATTTTGTCAATGTACTATAAAAAAAAATTGTATCAGCTGCCAAAATTTGAAATTTTAATGCAAGGAGAATATAATTCTTTTCAAACATTTAAAGTTATAAGAAGGGGATAAGTGTCCAGAGAAACTGTGGTAATGCGCATGTGTGAAGGACAAGATAATTTGGTTTTATCATCTCAGATGAAAAATGTAAATTGGCCGCCGTAAAGAGTTTTTAAGCGGACTTTTCGAACGTTCACCCTTCATTACAGCGAATGGATTTGGGTAAAGTTAAGGTTAGGGATTCGCTCTGACGAAGGACTAGCTGAAGTACACTTACAAAATACCATATATTTGTCATGTTTGTCTGTCAACCACTTGAAAAGGAATCTTTCCCACTCTTCAAGTGCATATAGCATATTTCTTACCGTCTTGGTCAGCCACATAATGTGCATGAGATTCGAATTTTTCATTCGCATCACCCACAACTGAGGCATGTAATGTAACAGCTTGGCCAGCTTCAAGTCCAGATAAGCATATCTTGACCTTACGGTCCATAAGTGACACACGAGGATTAACGTGGATGTTTGGAGTCACGCCAGGATTCGACATTACCGAAATACAGCGTTGAATTACTTTGCTGCAAGTTTTAAACTTCCTAAAGAAAAGAGAATATCCAACGAGCTGTAAATGACAAGGGGAAGAAATCATCACTTCCCCTTGAATTTCCTAATGATGGTGCTGCGGTCAGCAGGCATAGGATGAATAGGAATATGTTGTTTATGCTGCATGGAAATATTTGCTTTCATTTTCTCACAAGTCATTCGCATCACCCACAACGAGGGGGGTATTGGGGCTTATTAGAAACCGCAAAACTGCATAAAAAAATCATCCAAAACCTAAAAACAAACAAAAAAATTCGATCAAAACCGGAAAACCGCATGCAAAACTGTCAAACCGATACATTTTCTCATCCTTGTTATTAAAACCCGGATCGATCCGATACAGCGGTGACAGGTGGAGCATACAGAGTAAACTACACCAATTTCATTACAGGATTTATGAATGCCATAGACTTGGCATTCGTATCTTCTGTATCTGCTTAAATTAACAGATGCTCTTTCGACGACCTCAAGCGTGGTCTATACGGACTCAGCAGCTGGTAATGGAGCCTAGTCAAATTAAGAAAATTCGCCCTAAAGTCCTCTATAGGATTGCAATTTTGCAGTCGCAAAAGCTATAGTTCTGGAAAGGTTAATCGAAATCCATTTGCGAACTAAGACCTGAAATTTTGGAGATTCTATTGGAATATTGAATCAATCAGTCACATGTGGCCTGTACCTTGGTCACCAACTTCGTGGTGGCGTTGATAAAGAAACCCTGGCAATGTTCCGTGCTTAGCCCTGCAATATTTCAGTTGGTTTGTCACGCATTCGTCTCGATAATGTTTGCGTTTAGCTGCTATTCGAGGTCAATGGAGGCGCGTAATTGCCGCTCAGATCGAAGAAAAACCGGAACCCGCAAATAGGTCAAATAGGGAAAAAAATCTTTGGTCTTAATAACGCATCACGGGTCCGCGTCACGTAGAAACCCTTTGCTCCAAGAAGGGAAGTCGCGCGACACGGTAAGAATACTTGAATTCACGGATGCATATCTCATGACAAAAGCTGAAGAGTTATGAGGGTCTCGAAGAGGTTTTTCGGGATTCGGGATTAGGCTTATATAAAATCCGAGATCCGGGAATTTAAAGTAAGAAGGGAGCGAGATGCGGGATTGCTATTATGAACGGGATACGGGAATCGGCGATTGTCCAATAGTTACAAACTTTGTTAGTCCGCTCCACGAACTTTTTTTCTTGCGCAGGACATAATTGTCCCAATTACGTTCCCTTGGGGTGAAAATTATTTTGTTCATATTCATATACTCACGAAGATATTCGAGAGTTTGAAAGTAATCACTCTCTAGAATACTGTCACGAGGTCCGAATTGGGAAACAAATGTGCATGCTAACAAAGTCTATTCAGGCGAAGAAAGACAAAAAATGTATATCCGAGCCTGCAAATTGTTCGAGCCACAAGTAAGTAGGCTCCCCGTCTAGGTTTGTAATTTTCATTTATGACTTGTTAACTCTATCACTGATCAGACATGAATAACGTTATCACATTTTCCAAAATCTCTTGCACTTAAAGAGTCTGAGCCAGTGATACATGGAGGCGTATTGGTCAGCGTTCTGATGCCAAGTGTTCATAAGTGTAGTGGTGTGACGGTGTGTTAGGACATTAATATACCAAAGGTTCCAAACCTCGATATTTTATTACAATAAATAACGGATGAAGGTTATGACAAAAACCATGGATATGGATCGGAGATTCGAAATCTGTAAAGTAATGCGTTAACAAATTAGTTTCAGTTCATATCGATAATATCAAAAGAAATCAAGATAAATATTTACCCATTGGTTCTAGGTGTCCATAACACTGTCTAGCGATAGAAAATCTTAACAATTATATCTGTTACGTCATCAAATTATAATGCGCAAAGAAATTAGAATTTTGCGCAATACAAGTGGTTTGCAGCCAATACTTATCGACTGCAGTCTAGCAAATAAAAAAAGACGCTGATTAATATCAGCGAGTCCGCGATGTGACATGAATATTGGTCGGAGGATTTTTTGGTGCAACAGCTGTCACTTTAACATCTAAATGTGGATGTTCGCTATGCAACAATGCACTGGTGGAGTTAAATGATTGCTTTGAAGGCTTATTACGTTTAGGACCAAATATTATTACATTTAGGACTTAATTACATCTAGAACCAAATGTTATTACATTTAGGACTTTATTACATTTAAGACAGTTATTACATTTAGGCCTTCAACAGGTATGTGGTATGTGCTAAACAGAGTACATCTGCTGATTCTCTTTTGTACGCCTATTTCTTAATCAGAACAGAAAGTTGCGGTTTAGTACATCCATATTGCCCGATATAATTTTAAACTTTTCCAGAGGGTAGGATGAAATGACGAGCCTTGCATTTTAGTTGCTTTTAAATGTTCTAAATCATCAGTTATCGACACCTAATGACTCTACACATTTACGAATTGCTCAACTTTTTTTTCCTCGAAAAAAGAAACTCTTGTACTGCGTCGGCAGGCGTATGAAACAATAAATTGATAATCGACAAGACATTATAATCTCTTGTTAGCGATCTTTCGTTAATTAAACATCGCTACGGCGGTTTACGTTCCGTTATCAAGTAGAGTTGATAATCAATCGAATGAAATCAGGTTTCAGCGTCCATGCAAATTGGCCCAGAATCCACCTAGAGAACTAAATGTTGAACTACAAACGACTTTTCTTATTCTTCAATGACAGGTTATTGGCGAAGAAGTTTAAGATATGTTTCCAGGAATCTTCTTGGGCGAATGCTTGTTGTCGTGGTTCACCGCCCCATTCCACACACATCCCAAACGACTTATGATAGGAAAGATGACACGTGGGTGTGTAAGGAGGCTCAATCAAATGTCCCGTTCCGGGATAAGTATGGATTGTACAACGCGATCCTTTTCCGTATTTATGCAATCTGGAACGGATTTTGCGTGCCATTTCCTGTGCCCTCCAATTCTGGTCATCAGCCCCGCATATAAGCAATATATCCCCCTGAATTTTCTCGACTGCGATGGTAGCGGAACGTCTCGGACCATCAGTCGCATCCGGCGGGTATGATTCTTTAAAGATCATAGCTCCATTTTCTGACAGCTTGACGAGATCCGGTTCAAATTTAAGGAAGGCCAACGGCTCTCCTTTATATTTCAGCGGAAAAGCTATGAGAGCATGCGCAGGAGAGATACCCACAACCGCAGTTACTTCTTTCCGATGTGTTGCTAAAATAAGAGCTAACTCCGAACCTTTAGAAACGCCCATCACTCCCAGACCACAGGACATGACGTCAGGATGCGCCAGCATCCAATCACAGGCCTCGAAGAAGTACTCCAACTCAAGTTCTGTTGGTACCTTTGGCAAGTCATCGTACGCGAAGTAGGCCAGGGCTAGGGCTACAAAGCCATGAGAGGCCAAAAGGGAGGCCTTGAACTCTACTAAACCTCCAATCGTGCCGAACAAGTCAATGATACCTAGAAAGATAGAGAAAGAGAGAGCAAGAGAGGGTGACAGGGTATTATGGTATCCCCCGCAACCGTTTTCATTATTGCTACACGAACTGGCAGGAGGATGTATACAAAACAATTTCTTGCAACTCCCACTTCCCCTCCTCCCCGCCCTTCTTTCGTGGAAACTTGACTGTTGGAATAAGTCGGTTAAGTCGGGCAGCGAATGTTTTTTCTGTAACCCGTCAGTCATATTCACTTTTATGAAAGAGCCATCTGCACCGATTAAACATCAGAATTTTTCCTGGTACCACGCAAAATTAAGAAGCAATTTCTATCTCTAACATGCGAACAGCGCTATCTCTGTATCATAGGACGATCATTTGTTGGAAGCATAAAATTTACCTGACCCTCTCTTGGTGTAAGTCGTTGAGACCCGAGTCTTTTTTTCGATTCTGTTTAATTGCCACCTAGTTGCGATGACCTTTCGTAACGTAACTTTGTGGGTATGATGTCCTATGAAGCCATCGTTTTAATATGTCACGCAACGATCCTTTCCCTAAGAGCTGTGTAATGCCCTAAAGAAGGCCTACGCGGGAATTCCTTTAAAAGATCTTTCTTAGAAGATAGAGAAGGCTATAAACAACAACAACAACAACAACAAAAAAAACAAAAAACATAAACAGGCAGTCTCTTCAACTCACCAGGGAACGGTCCTTTTCCAGGAGGTAAAAACAAAGTACCTCGCAACCTTCCATTCCTAACAGGAATTCTTCGCACACCACATGTCATGTAACACCTCTCAAATGTCACGCTACGGATCGGCTGCAGTTCCTTCACTTCTTTGCAGGCAAAATCCTCAACATGGCCATTAAATAAGTGGAGGTGAACGTAATAAGGTTTTGTGACGTCTTTCTTGCTTAGCCGTTGCCCTTTCCTCTGTCCAGGTAAAAGTTTCATGCTCCACAGTAGACCCATAGAATCGACACCGGTGTATGTTCCCGATAACGATGGAGTTTCCGCAATACAAACCCTTCCTGCTCCATCCGCGATAAAATGGCCGTAAGATTCGAATTCTTCTTTGGAATCTCCAGTTAGTTTTGCCTTCAATGTTATGCGCTGTCTTGGAGTGAGACCTCTAACGACGATGCTGATCTTTTCATCGATTAAAGATCGCATGGGGTACACAACTAAATCGGGATTGAGTAGCGATTGACATTCCGTAATGTTTGAGTCAAAAGCATCCGAATCAACAGTCTGAGTGATAATTTCCGGCTGGTTTGAAGTTTCTAAACTATTCAAGCTTTCCATGACGTTTGGTTCATTCCTTTGAGATATTAGAGGGTGAAATCGAGGAAAAGATGATTGTGAAAGTTTTGTCATATGACCAACACAAGACTTCGAAGTGGATGCAAGTTTTTGCAATTACGTCACGGTCGATATTGAAACCGAATATCTTCCGATACACAAATGATAGACAGTCGATAATCGGTAATCAATCAATCTTTGAAAAGCGTATCGCTCAAATATCGGAAGTTTGAACAATAAGCCGTTTTGTTTCCGTTTATTCAAACGGGAGAAGCGTGACCAAGGAAGGTGTGAGCCGCGTAAGGGCATGGGGCAAAAATAAAAGCAATAGGCGAAGAAGGAAGAGAAAGGACGAATTATTAGGGACTATTCATTGTTTATGGCGGGGAGGGAAATATTTAGGGGGGAGGGATCACGTGGTTTTCAGGGGGAGACATTGGGAATTAGCCGTCGCCAACAGAGTATAAAGGAGGGACTATAGCACCTTGACTGCCAATTATACTGTAAATGCCAATGAGGGAAAGGGGGGGGGGGGAAAGATAAGAATATTATAGAATCTTATGGGGGGATCAAGTAAATTTTATCGTGACACAGCCCGTGACATAACACAACCAAAATTATCTAATCCTCTCTACCCCCCCCTCCCCCACCCCACTGGTGATGAAGAATGACGGGTCCCTTCTACGTTAAAAGAAATGCGCAATTTAACTTACAATTAGAAAAAATCCAGCACCCGGCAGCTAATGGAAGTAATATAACGACTGTATATTGAAGAAAGTAACCGAATGTGAAAAGTTATTTATTACTCAAGCACGTGGTACTGAGATGAAACGATGAGCCAAAACGAAAAGAAATGAAAACACACACAGATAAACAAAACGGAGATTTCCATTAAGGAATCATTAACTATGTTCAATGTGGCGAAGAGAAATGGCAGTTATTTCTTATTTCTAATTTATTTTTATCTCTTTACTTTTGTGGAAAGAACCCGCAAAACTGTCAGAGAGTAACCAGGTGTTGGTGTTTTTTAATCTGCCTAAGATGCTCATATCAACTCTCCCTACTGTCTACCATAAGATCCATTAAATGGTGCTTGTAAGTATTTATTGAAAAATATAACAGTTCTCCTCATCACTTTGTCGTCTGATTCTGTATTGATCGGGATGACTCAGGCCCCTTTGAGAGAATCAGAGGGGCCCTGGGGTCGATGCTGGCGCGCGAGGGTCATCTTGGTATATTGCAGAATATTCAACATGGCGGCGAAGGCATGCTTCGAGCTGTAGCGACTTTGAGATCAATTTTTTTGACAGTCATGGTAAATCTTACAACTGTTGCTCGGGCGAGGAAACCTACTATTATTTATGGATTCAAAAGAGGCAAGGTTCCGGCGAAACTTCGTCCAAATATACTTCCCAAACCTCAAGTACCTGGAGGTATACTTAAGTTGCACAAAGTCAAGCGATGACGATCTTTTTGAGCTGTTTGGAAATTTTTTCACTCTACTAGTGATAATAATTTTCATTATTTGATATTTTGATGTTTTAGAGGGAAGTTGTATGAATGAGATGTACAAGCTTATGGCATGCTGGAAAAGCAACGGATTTATCGACACCCACTGCCAAGAAGAAATCAATTTATTTCTCGACTGTGCTTCTAATCAGGTATTTTTAATGACTGTCTTGGTTTTAAAAATGACAACTTGCTTTGCAAGCCTTTCAAACTAGTGTTTATTGTGGTTTGGGAATTTTCCATTTTTTTTTGGCATTTGATTTTTGGTTTTCAGATTTGGTTTCGATGTGGTTTTCCGTTTTTCGTATGTGGGTACCACTTTCTTTTCGATCTGAGCAGCACTGATCTCAAATAGCTGCAAACTGATCTCAAATAGCTGTAAACTGATCTCAAATAGCTGTGAAACCTCTCTATCCTCCACTTGTCACTGCTGGAGATCAAGTAGGAATTTGATAGTTGAGATGTCAAAATTTATTGGTTTTGCATGCGGTTTTTGATATTGATCCAATTTTTTTCCGGTTTTTCGTTTTTGGATGATTTTTTTTATGGTTTTGTGGTTTCTAATAGACCCCAATACCTCCCTCAATATGCATCCTGACATTTGGATTGCATACTGGTGGTCATTGTCAGGTGACGAGTTTGACTGGATACAGTTTACATGCAGGCAAGAATGCAATAACCTTCTCACTAGTGCCTCTCTCTAATTGTGTGGCTTAGGAGCTCAGTTGGTAATAGAACTTAGCTAGTATCTGGAAGGCACTAGTTCAAATCCGGTTGAAGCCTGAATTTCTCAGGCCTCTTTTCTGCAATTGCTTGCAACCACAACAATTTCTTTGCTTGCAATACATGACTGTGGCAACATTTGGTTTCATGCTATGCTTACTTTTTACAGAGGTCAATACAAATGTGTAGGTGGGGCATAGACAGGATGTATCAAATTGCATCACAACCAGATTGCATGCATTGATCATTAGAAAAGTTTGCACAGGTATAAATTGGCCCAAGCTATTGTCATGGTCTGACTTCAACCCTCTCCTTTTCCATATTGATTTGCTAAGCCATCTGATTCAAATAATTGCAAACAATAGAAGAATAACAAGTATTAGAATTCACTGAACACTTTACACCCTAACATCAATATTCATTTTCTTCACAATGCTCTCTATACATCTCTTAAGGGACTGATAAATTTGAGTAACAATCAAGTGCGTCTTGATTGTATTTTTTCCTTTATTCCCCAGACCTTTGCAGTTGTTTCAAAGGTGATAATGTGGGGAGAAATTAGAAGCCAGTCACTCTTAGGGGTTAAAGGGTTGAAATAAGAGAGACTTCGGGTTTAAAAATATCAAATAGGTATGCTAGAGGCCCTCACTTTTACACTTTTAAAAACTAAAATCTAAACAAACACTTTGACATTTTAGATTTGAAAGGTTTAAGAATTGAAGCCAGAAGTTCTTTCATTCTTTAGTGATTTTAACCAGAGATTTCTTTCATTTTAATTGTTGTTGTTAGTTTCTGTATAGCATTGTATGTTTTAATTTTTGTTTCTGTTGTTTGCAGATGGGCACAAGAAAATCTTCCTCTGCCTGGACCCTAGATGAAATAAATGCTACACTAAAGAGACACACTCCCTATGTGAAGAAAAGACAGAGTCATGAGTCAGACTCCTATATTGTGGAAGAAAGACACTAGGATAGAAGTGAGCTAACAAGAAGCACTCAGATGAGACTGCAACAGTAATCTGGGCATTTCCATGTTCTGTAATTAACAAGCCTATTTTTCAATTAGGACTAATTTTTGATGAAGTGTTATTAATTTATAAGCAAAACTTAAACTTATTAATCTCGTCAGCCACTCAAAAGTAAGCTAAACATCACAAGGAGATGTGAACTGGCATGATAGTGTAAAAATGGCGGGGAGCAAGTCACTTTTGATAAGGGTTTTATTAGTGATCAAGAGACTGAGGAGAGGGACAGACTGATGAGACAGTAGAAGTCTTCTAGACCATTGTTGAAAGATCTGATCAACTCCATTGTGTCTGTATCAATCACAGAATATAGAAATGCAATCATGCAAAATCATAGAGGCTAGAATAGTTTAAACACTCTTTTGACAGTATTACTTTACATGAATTTGTAGTGCTTGTAAGCTATACATATGAGAGTTATGCAATTCTACTTTAAAAGAACCTTTCTGCGTGCACTTAAGGAGCCTGAAGAAGTTCAAATGTTTAATTAACGAGTTCATATGATATCTGTAAAAATGTGCTGCTGAGTCAAAGTGAAGACATTCAGTGACTGACAGGATACAGTCAAACCTGTTAAAGTGGTCACCCACGAGTAATGGCTGGGTGAACGCTAAATAAAGGTTCCAAAGAATAAGGATAATCTAAAAAAAAAAACTGCCCTTTTACGCCATAATTGACCCCTTAATGTGCAAAAATCGCTTAAGAAGTACAACTAACTTTGATTCCGGGAGAGAAACATGAATAAAATTTTGCTTGAAAGATTATTCTCAGTTTTATTTAAGTGATTCTGCTTTAAGTGACCGTTCAGCACAGGTGGAGGACAATACAAATTCACTTAAAGGTGACTAGGACTGCTTAATAGAGGTGACCGCTGAACAGAGGTAAAAAATTACAGTAACTAAGGGGAAGAAAATTCGACTTTTAGAACCTACCGCTCAGCACAGGGTGACCGCCTCATACGGTGCAACTTAGTACGGGTTACGGTGGACTGATTTTTTTTTGGATACAGATCAACAATAAAGTAAAGGAACAGCCAAATTAATGAACTAAGGAAAAGCTCGATGAGAAGCTACGGTTTGTATTTCTGTGTTACAGGGAATTGCTTTTAAAGGGACAAAAACGTTGGCGTAATCGTTTGCTAGTATGTTGTAACACCACAAGCCAAGAATGAATACATTTTAAAAAACTTCATCCCTCGCTCCCAATACCTAACTACATCATTCCTCGGCACGCGAGGTTGTTTTCCTGGGCCAAAACGCTCATCAGTCTCATCAGACACTTTGAAAACCACTCGTTGAACATTCAGCCCAAAGTCGCACTTGCAAATTCAAGATATCAACTGTCTCCACATGAATTTATTTCAACTAGTCGGAAGCTCGGAAATATTCAGTGGTGTAAATGAAGTCTGTGGCATTACACAAGATGCGTTTTTCGTTGTGATCAAAAGAAAAATACAGACACTCGGCTAGATTTGAGGGCAAACATTCATTTTTGCCCTTGGGTGAATTAATTACATGTAAAAAAAAAAGAGCAAAGCCCTGACAACGAACATCTCGTACAAAAATTTACCACATCCCATACAAAAATTTATCGCGTCTCGTACAAAAATTTACCACGCAAAGTAACAAAAGTGAGAAGAGGTCATTTAGCTCAAGTTGTAGTGAAAAATAACCTACAGGGTATTTTGAAATTAACACTGTACTTTTCAATATTCAGCAGATTTGCTCGGGGAAAATTTCCCTCACTCGCTCGCTTCTCGGACAATCAAGCTCTTTGTTTTTTTCTTTCTAGGGAAGATGGCAATCTATTATCGAATATATGCAGAATTCGAAAGGACAACGAACATCTCGTACTAAAATTTACCACGCAAAGTAACAAAAGTGATAAGAAGTCATTTAGCTTGACACCGACCAAGAATTTCTTCAGTAAAAATAATCAGACCCACAAGAAAAAATTTATGATAGTAACACATTTTTATGAAGAATTAACTTTATTGAAGAATTAATTTTATCGAAGAATTGACAAAAGGTTGTGTAAAATATGTTTTCGTTCGCTAGTTCTCTTCCTTTGTTTCGTAAACATTGCAGGAGAGGCAAATATTCTGCTGTTTAGAACCACGATAAACATATGTTGTGGATCTGTGAAACAAAAAAATGTTTTTGCCTCGCGTATAAAACATTTCGCAAATTTTGCTTCCGAAACATGCCAGTTGGCCATACTGAAAACAATGTTGACTAGTTGTTATGTAGTGTAGCCCATTGAAAATGTTTCCTAGCGACAGCGACGGTTACCATGGTGAACATTTGACTTGGCTGAAGGGGAAATGCGAAAAACTTCGCCATCGGCTGGCAAGAAAGCCAACCAAAAGTTTAAGGCCTTGCTGAAGAAAAAAAATTTGTCAAAAACGGCTTCAGGGTGAAAGCAATCATCCCCTAAAATTACGTAGCGAATGATGCTTTTGGAAGTCAATTTATAATCGTGCGCATGCGTGTATCTTTGTTTTTCCGAACCTGGTGGCCGGGTCTAACCATATGTGCATGTTCTGACAGGAGCGGCCCAAGCTCCAGCTGTGAGATGATCATCTTGCGAAGATTAAAAAATTAAAAGAGTTTGTATGGGAATATCTACGACCGCCCTTAGGAATAAAAAAATAAGTCAAATTCTCAATAAAAAAATATCTCACTGTACTTCCATTGTGCATCGCTTGTTATCTGACCGCTTACTATGTTAAAAAGAACCCATTTTAGCGAGTTCTCCATTTCTGAGTTTACTGCATAAGGGTATGTAAGATAATCATTTCACAGCTGGAGCTTGCGCCGCCATTGGTTCAGATCATTTGAAAGGCACTTTCGTGCTTTAAAAAACTACTTGATTTTGCCTTGGAAACCGTATCACAGTGCGTCAATAATTAGTAAGTCACCATCTCAGGGCATTAAGTTGTAAATGTTTGCCGTGAACTACAAAAGTTTCTTCGATGGTACGACTCGCCAGACCACTAAAGAAGAAACTGGGATCGAAGCTTCTTTGGATATGCTTCGCGACAATTTTTCTCACATGCGTGCATTTCGTTGGTCTTTTCCTTAAACCTTTGGATTACCGTGATGAACAGCACAGTGAAATTGGAGTCCATGATTTCGGCGAATTTAAGACATTCCTTGGTGGTTCGACAAAAAAAGCGCGTAGAAATCTGATCATTGTATCTCATGGCCGCTCTGGGTCTTCGCTGACAGGAGATATTTTTAATCATCATCCTTCAGTGTTTTACATGTACGAACCGTTACAAACCGCTCAACGAGTTTACAAGAAGAGCGGCAATCAAACTAGTTACAACAGGCTGGCCGAAAAGCTATTAGCCTCCCTCGCTCAATGCAGATTCGATCAGCCTCAGACCGCACTGGCGGACATTGAGAATTATTACCGTAAACCAGCACATCCGCGCATCAGCCATGCGATGGGATCACCGCCTCTGTGTCCAGTTGAGATGACGGATCCCAAATGGAGTCCCGAACTTTGCCCTCCTTTGTCAAGCCAGTCCTTAGGTGACGTCTGTAAGGATAAGTACAATTTGACCGTCTTGAAAATCCTTCTCTCCCGAATTCCTGAGAATAATATGAAAACAGTTTTAACCGCTTGTGACTCGAACGACGTCGAATGCAAGATTATCTTCCTCGTTCGAGACCCTCGAGCAGTGATCCCATCTTCACTTCAGATTGGTTTTTTCAAAGAAAAAGGAGGGTCCGATTCTAAGTTAGGCACCAGGGTGTACAGTTACACGCTGTGTCAGCAAACAGAGAGGAATTTGGAACTAGTGAGGAGGTTACCAGCTTCTTTGCGAGCACGGATTATGCTCCTGCGGTACGAGGACTTAGCGATGGAGCCGTCAAAAGTGTTAGAAAGACTTTACGACTTTGCTGGGTTGTCTTTGTTGGAAAGCGTGCGTGCATGGCTAAACGAAACCACGCAGCAGAGTAGGAAGGACTGTAATCGTGAATTAGATGGCCCTTTAGTCACATGTACAAAAGATGATGCTTGGGCAGCGGCAAATCGTTGGAGGTGGAAGGTTCATCCACACGAAATCAACGTCATAGAGCATTACTGTCGAGGTGCGATGCGCCTGATGGGATATCGGCCTGTGGACATGTCACATGACCTATTAGCGAACAACAAGATTCCACTGTTCAGCGATGACTATGAAGCGAAACTCTGGTTTTTAAATTGAATGAAATTTCAGACTGTATTGAATATAAATATATAAGTGACGGTGATTTCCATGATTACAAACGTTCAGCCTCAGCACGCTGTGATTGGTTCAAGAACTCGCGCAACTTTCCTAAACAAGAATAAAGGGGGAAAGTTTCTAAACTGCGGTGCTGTGTATGTTGGGGGAACGATTACTAGATAATTTAGTTTCATCAACTGAGTTTATATCGTAAGTTGACTACCGCAAAGAGTTTCTAAGGCTGACGTCCACCGTCGAGTGTTAGCCTTTCGACAGAACTCTTCGCCCTGATAAAGGGCCAACTCTCGTAACAGTTGATAAAACCAACTCATTCCTTAAACAAGAGTTGTACAACAATTCGGTTTCATTGATTATATACAATACACTTGTCATATATGAACCACGGGCTTTTCCCCATGGATACGCATATTTCTCCTACATCACACGCTTATAACAAAATGAATGTAGTCTTTCTTGTTCATTTTGGCCACTTTCGAGGCAATCCTTTGGTCTGAGAAGATCATTTTAGCTAAAAATACTACATGTGCAGTTGTGTACAAAATTCAGGCTTGAACTAGAGAATCGAGAAACGATAAACGTGACCTGAAATAGTTTATTGTACGGAAAGATCTTGTGCTTGTATATATCGAAATGCCCAATTTCACTCTCGAACTTAGCTTTCAAGGCGCGGACTGGTGAATTTTGTCAGAAAAGTACTCCTATATCACTGAAATCAACAGAGCATTAATTTGAAAACAATCAGAAAGTGGCAAAAACTTGTTAAGCGCAATTAAGGCTTGGGCTAGTCCCTTGTAGATGGTGCCAGCATTATAATTTGGAAAAACGAACATAATTTTTGCTCTTTTCATTAAAAGTAATACTGCTAGCATACTCGGCACATTTTTTTTTTGTTTTTTCGAAGGAACATCGTTAGAGTCATGACTTGTTTGGTTTCTAAGATTTGTTTTTTTCAAGTTCAGTCCATGGTCCAGTCTAATTTTGCAATGTCTTGGGTGAAGGAGGTTACCTCAATACTGAGTCGTTCGATGTGTAAAGGACTGGGCACACCGGAAGTAAAGAAAGCGTTAATCCCAGTTTCCGCTTTTATAAAAAACAAAGTGGCGTCGAAGATAACCGTGATGCTAACAATAACATTGTACATTTTGACACTTCAAGTCACCGCTTCTAGTCTGGAATTAAGTGCAGTAGTTAATTATGTTTTATCAGAGCAAGTATATAGCACAAAATAAAGAGGATATCATGATTTCTTAACAATAAATACATTATTTGGATTTGTTTTGTGTTTCTTATTTAAAAAGCATATACTTTGAGAAAAGGTAATACAATTTTCAGAAACAAGCATAATTTTGAGCATAACTCGGAAAAAATTTATCAATGCTAGTAGCATAATACGCTATTTTTACAAGCACAATCTATGAAGGCCTACCTGAGGTGAATTTTCAGTAAACGACGTCATTGGGCATAGGAGCAGTTTAGCGCCAGGCATTTGAGCCGATGGGGGAGAGGGGGAGGGTGAAGGGAGAATTTTGCTCGTGCTTCGGCCTCAATCGGACATCTATGCAATTTTAACTTTTCATACAAAAACTGGAAGGTAGTTTTTCGTAGATCTCGAAGCTGCTTTCCCGCAATACGTTTTTTTTGTTAAGTTGCATTTGCCACAGCACTTCAATAGGTGACGGTTGGAAATTGCATAGTCAGTTATACAGCTGGACAGTGAATGACGCGAGGTGTATTGCTACTTCTTCCAAGATGGGGGTGACCATCACAGACTACCTCTCTCTTCCCCTCCCCCCGGCAGATCGCCGGAACTTTCTTATGAGGGTGGAGAGATTCTGCCGGTTTAGAGGCTTTTCTAAGAACAAAAGAAACAGAGTGACAACGGATTTGTTTTTAGGGCACAAGCACCAAATGCTTTCAGGATGGATCTGATAGGCTATGATGTTACAAGGGTAGCCTAGGTAAAATTTAATGAGAGGCAACTGGGCATTTGTTGAATAACGTTTTCAAGGAAACAAGCCGAGAACTACCATTCAATTAATCGTTACCAAACAAAACCGTGTTAAGCCACCTTACTTTCTGCGGCGTTTTATTTGTGGTATCTCTTTTTTTTGTGGAAATTATTTTTGCAGATCAATGATGACCCCCCCAAACTCAGCAGAATTGAAACCCGCCAAGGAGCAGAGAGATTTCCTCACGCGCGTAAGGCTCTCTGGTCTTCGGAAAATTATACGTAGATCATTAAACTTTAAAATCATTCCCTCGGGTACTCCACCCGAATTTGAACTTTTGAAGTTCCCCCCCCTTTCCTCACCGGGCTAAAATTTTGTTTAAATGCCCCACCCAAGTGCTGGAATTGATGGGCAATCTTTTGTAAAAGGAAAAATCAGGGAACGGGACTTTCTAATAATTTACCAAGCTTTAAAACCTAGACCTTGTGGACCTTTTCTTTTGAGTCATTCGCTCACGAAAGTGTGCTCATAACCTTGAAACACCTTCATACCAAAAGATAAGACACGTGTAGTCCGCTGAGAAGACGGTTCAAACTCTCCACCCCAGCCATGCAAGGTTCAAATTCCCCACCCCTGGGCAAGGACGACAGTCAATTGCCCGTGGGAGATGTTGAAGCTTCGAATTGATCGGTGCATTTAAAAAATTTGTAAAGGAGACTTTTCATGACGCTCAAATGTAAGAACAGATGTCTCAACATTCGTAAAAAAGGTTTTGGTTATTCATCGTGGTGAATAACAATAAAAGCTAAGTTTTTTTCGTTTGTCTCACGATGTAGTCACGTGTGATGTAGATCGCGACTTTTCGACTGCATACTGTTAGTCTTTTTCAGTCGATGAGGTCGTCATGTAAGACTTCACCCTAACAACATCAACAGGGATAGTGGAATAGAAATTCCAGAAGCGTGGATGCACACTATCAAAAAACACAACAACAAGAGCCGTGCGACAGCGGACCGCCGAGGGAGCAAATCACTGTGTAAAACAGCAAGGATCGAAATGCACCAATCAGAGCTGTTGAAAAACAACTAATCACAGCAGAGCATCATGCTTTATAAGATCACGCATGACTAGTCGACCTCATCGCCTCAAAGACTAGCAGTGTGCAGTCGAAACGTCGCTATCTACATCACACGTGACTACATCGTGAGACAAACGAAAAAACTTAGCTTTTATAGATATCTCAACGTATTTAAATGTTCATTTATTTTCATTGAGAAAATAACAAGTCAATTTTATTGTACCGTTTCACTGCAGCTTTTTTTTTTTTTTTTCATATTTGCTCATGTTACAATGTTAATCACTGTTTACCACATAGCAATTACAATCATTTATATTAGAAATGTCGTATTTATCCAGACTCTCAAATAAGGGACAACCAAAAACATAAAATACACATAAGCATTCCACTAAAATTGAGCAAAAGCATTAAATTCAGTTTTATGTATAAAAAATTACAAATTTCCCAATAAATATTGACATATTGACAGTGTTTGCATTATTTAAAAAGATTGCAATATCTCGAGCGAGAAGTGACCTTTTTTCCAGGCAATTTATTGCATTATTTACCCCTTGACCCCTAAGAGTAGTTATTGTCTGATTTCTCATTAAAATGTCATCCCCGAATCACATATTGAGGCCAGGATAGTCAAGGAAATGATCGCCAAATGAAGATTCTCTTGATTATTAAGCAAATTCCCTTCGTCAGCACTGCTGGAAATGTATAGAGACCAGTATGAACTATATGTATACTGATCTTATGGTGTAAAGGATTAATGAGTTTTAAGAAACATAAAATAAAACCTGGCGTTCTTTCTTTGAAATTTCACTTTCAACTATAATGGCCTACAGCTAAATTTAATGGAATAAAAAAGAAAACGCGCGTGTATATTAAATATAAATAAGATTCGATTTTTAGCAGTTGTTGTGTCAATTCTAGTCTCTCAACCGGTGTGCACATCGACAAAAATATTTCAAAACTCTGGCGTACAGCGACTTCCTCATACTGATCCTGTAAAGGACATGTTCGACATATTCAGAAATAAAAAATGCGTCTATCTACTGTAGAAGTTCTCTCGGACTTGAGACCATGACAAAAAAATGTGTAAAATTTTAGAACAGAAAATGATCGCTTGCTTTGGCCCTTTTTCTACCACTCCTTCACAGTCTTCTTCCCTGGCTTTCCTCAATTTCACTCAGTGCCTCATCTAAAACTGAACACACTCGATCAGCATCTGTGTTTGTGAAGCACATTGGAGGTTTGATCTTGATCACGTTGTGGTCAGGTCCATCAGCTGATAGCAGCACAAACTTGTCTTTTGCCCTGTTAAAAATGATTATAATCAGATAAGTGGAGAAATACGGTAAATTATTTGAACCCGGGAGAATATAACTGAGGAGAATGTGTTACCTTTGCTACGACATCAACAAAAGGTTAGACGTTCTAGTCTTCTCGAATAAGGAAGAAAAACCGAAGGCCTTGTCTACTGCATCTTCCCAGTACTGGTTAGCGAGGGACGTCGAAGAACCCACAAATGTCTAGCAAAAAGTAAAGAACGCAGCTCCCGGCGTTGTGGTCTGACCTTGTTTCCACCCTAACATTCTTAAAATGCAAACTTTTCTTCCAAACATTGTAAAACTTCTCAATGCATTCAGGCTAAGATTCACTGTAAAGCGTTGGATAATGCGCTGTATAACTGCATAATTATTGCAGGAATGGTCTATCTGTGCAGTTTGAGAAATAGATGGTCTAGTCACCGCAATGAACAGGAAGTTTTCATACTCACATGTATATCACTCTTCTTGCCTCTTCTGCAGCTGGTTGTTTTGTTGTTCTATCAGTCACTAGCTCCACTCCAATGAAAAGCCCCATTCCCCTTAAAAAAAAAAAAAACAAAAAACAAAACAACAACAGCGAGTTAAGATGAAAAGGTCTAATTTGCACACAGATCACAATCTAGGACTAACGTAGCTGAGGAAATCTGTTCACATTCAAATGAAAACTTCCTTTCTTGAGACGTTACTGCTTGACATGAAAATGACCCTTCCCCTCCTCCCTTGGCAAGGTCTGTGTATCTTACTACTCATTTGGATGAGATCCTAATCCATCACAGGTGAACTACCCCCTCCAACCCCTAAGCCAACAACCCCTTCCCCACCCCCCATCCCATTTCCTTTGGTGTCCTCACAGTTCACCGGTTCCCATTTATACTCCTTGACGCTAAGACATAATCAGCTTACCACGACTTAAAAACAGTTAGACAATCAAACAATAAAAAGCAACAAGGTAGCAAAAGAATGCGCTCTATTAAGAATAACAGTTTATGAAACTAAAGAAGTGGTACCAAGCTAAACAACCTTGCAGGAGAGGGGGGAATACCTGTTTATGACATAAGGACAAGCTGTAATTGTATCACTATCAAATCAGGGCAGGAGAACCTTAAGTGTCATTTTGCACAATAACGAAAACCCACTTTAAAGGTCTCTTCCCTTTCCACCCTCCTTAGGCCACAGAGGCTCACCTGAGGGGAAGTGGGATAGGGCGAGACAACAGACTGATGATCAAGAAATCAGCACTTACCTCACTTCTCCAATAAGCCTGTGCTTGGTTTGAAGTTGTAGCAACTTGTTCTTCAAGTAATCACCAGTCTCAAGGGCATGCTGTTGAAGGTTCTCATTTTCAATGATATCCAAGACTGCATTGCCAACTGCACATGATACTGGGTTACCTCCATACTGCAACACAACTTTTGATTCTTAAAAAAATATGCGAACTCATGGGCAATGCTTATGATTTGCTGCTCAGGAAACTGTCAGTTATGTAAGCCACATAGTTTTGTGCTGCTGCCCCAAAGGATAAGGTGTTTGACTTATGTTGCTGTGAAAGAGGAAGGATATTGATTTTCACCTTTTGGATTCTAAACAGATTGAAGTTTAGTATACTATCCAGATCCTGGTTTAGGAATGGGATATGTTTTTAACAGAGATATCTCTTTGCTTAAAACATTTGGAATATGGGTTTTCCTGAAAGGGTGACATGTGGGTATAAGCTTAATGGTCTACTCAAAAATAGGGTGGGTAGTTTTGATTTGTGTCTGAAATGAAATATAGAAATTCCCATTTGGTACTCAAATCAGGTAAGGTTAGGCCACAAAAGAACTTGAATTAATGGATAACATCCTAAGTGACCTAATAAAGAGATCATCAGCCTCTCATCTAT